TCGAAATATTGACTTGTAGGATAGGGGTGATGACGGGGTACAGTAAACGAAATTCTATTAAGTCCGTCAGTTACATGATCAATAAATAATGGACACGTATTTTTTCTTTGGGCAATCAACCAAAAAATGTCAAAGTTATAGTGCGTCAAAGTTTGGGAGTAGGGGCTCGTGACGAATGTTCACTTCAAACGTGACGTCATGCGACTTTTCAAATCAATATATCTCTGCAATATTTATATTACGTGAAATAAGAAAAAATACGTGTCCAATACTTTTTGATAATCTACCTGATAAACGAAGAAAAAAAATTGTCATCATCCCTATTCCGATGTTTTAAGAGATGTCGAAGGGAGTGTTCGAAAATAAGATGCTGCTACGGATGGCGGTTTCGTCGAAGTGACCGCTTTGTACAGTATGGTATGTAAAACATAGAATTAAAAAAAAATACAACCTTGCTAAAGAGTTTTAACCTCACGCCACGCTTTAGTATTACCCTGTTATCGCTAAAGTTCAATTTGTTTATAATACTTATCTGTCACGTTGTTCAACACACTGTTAAATTACATATTAAACATGAATTTCCTTAACCATTAATTAGTGATATTCCAAAAGTACGTCAGAGGCACAGCCGCAGTTCCAGTTACCTAACACTATCACATTTCTCCGACTAACTTTTTCACTTCTGTCATAGGATGTGTGATCAAATATATCTCGACGTGAAACGCATAGGTGAAAACGTAGCTATAATAATGCTCGTCAGCTTGGGTTATTAGAGTTGTAGGATTTGGTATAATATTATGTAAATAAGAAGAAAGAATTGTCTTCTCGTATTTGGTATGTCTATTATTGACAGTTAATTTGTAACAGTGACAGTATCAAACATATATTTTATAAAACCATAAACTAAAGGAAAAGTTTTAATGAAATTAAACAATAGGGTCTCATGTTAACATCAGATAAAATTCACTTTTTTAGACAGGCCAAATTAACACTTCGAGCTCATTCTAACATACCAACAATCATGTTTCTATAACGTAGTTTTTCGAGTTGCATAAGGTCATATGTCGCAAAATTACTAAATTAAATCAAGGAATAAAGATTCACATTAACTTCAGTTTTTACGCTTTTATATTTAGTAGTTTATCATTGTAACGGCGAATATTGAGTTAAGTTTTGATGCTTCTAAATATTTTGTTACAAATTTGGAACGCCTTTTTGACATGCTACTTTTTGCTTCCAAGATAAATGTATGCAAAAATAAATGTATGAACACATACAATTTCGTTTATCGAAATAAAGAAAAAAATGACCCTAGGATGACATATAATGGTTGCTTTCAAATTACAGCATTATAGCGCATTATGCGACATAATGCTTAACGTTGAGTGTTCCAACTACAGCAACGCTTCGCACAATTGAGCACTCTCAAAAGTGATGCTTTCGTGTGATGCGTGCAATCGTACCAACTTAGAGACAGAAAATTAACAAATGTTTTTTCTTTAAGTTGGCATTGATCGAAATGTTTTATTTATATGTTATCGTTAGTAATATTATTGTTGAAAAAATATTAAAGGTTTCGTTTCATTAAATAGTTTTTTTTTAAATAATCAAAGTTCATTCAAACTGTTAAAAAATAAATATAAGTATGGATGAAGGTACAAACATTGACTTTTTTTTTCAACACTGAACTTAGCGCACTCTGCTGGTGTATTTGAAAACTAATTCACGTTCCAATTTAGCATCAGCATAATTCAGCATTGTGCGGCACTGAGTCGCATTATGCTCTGTAATTGGAAAGCAACCACTAGTGCGAGCTCCGCCGTTTTTCAAACAGCACGTAATCCCGGCAGTATAATGCAATAGTTTTCAGACACTAACCAGTACTGGAAATATCATGTTTTGCCCTCCCTATTACATCCAAAGAGAATTCCTGTCCCTTAGCAGTGTAGAAACATTTAGCTAGCACCTTATAATTCTGGGCTAGCACAATGTATATACGGCGGTTTCTTGGTTGAATATTCTTTAAGTTTCGTATCAATATAAGAATAGATCTTTAAACTTGCGACAGTGCCGAAACTTTGCAACTTACAACTTTGCAACTGCAACAGTACCCTTAGCATGAACCCATATCGAATTCGAAGAGTTTGCGAGTCTGAAATGTCAATGTCAAATTTTGTATGGAAACTTGAACTTCGTGCTAGGGATTCTACTAAAAACAAGTAATTAACGTAAATTGCTATAATGTTGGTGACCATGAAGAAAAATCAATCTACTTATTTTATAGATTTTTCTACGCACACTTACGCATGTCATAACCCCTTTAAAAATAATCCAATTCATCATCAGTAATTTTTGCAGTTAATAGCTATTTATTGTAAATTCGGATATCTCAAAGAAAGCGTAAGAAAGTGCCAATGTTAAAATTTGAAAAAGTGTGAAATTTTGAGTTTTCTTCGTATGTGTAAAATAAATATTATCTATTTTATTGAGGTCGCGATCGAAAGTTATAAAGAGGTATAGTTATTTTGAGCAAAACAGGCAAATTGATGCTGATATACACTTGTATGTAAAACTAAGTATCACATTTTTTTTTCTAAATAATAGAAGTTAGTATAGCAAATTATCCAAGCTTTCTTTGAAACTGTAGTACAAAATTAAACTCGTTTTGGACTCGTCTTTAGTTCGAAAGTATATCTTCTGCATTTATTTAAAAAGTTATAGCAATTTTAAAAGTGTGATACTTAGTTTTGCAGACCAGTGTATAATGTAGCTATCTTATCAAATAACCAAGGAAAACCGAAAGTTCCTTTCAGTAGCAAAGGAATGACGAAGTTTCATATCGGCGATGTTGAACTCAAGCGACCAACCATACACAATACAAATATTATGTAAACATAAAACGATAAATTCTGCTCATAATTTCCAAGTTATCGTGTCTTTTTACAATAAACATTGTATTCTGTTTTTCATCGCAACAATATTTTACCCGAAGGTTGGATTATTTTTACAACGAAGGTCTTATTTGTTTAAATAAATATATCAAATAAGACGTTTTTATATTCATTGTATCGTGTAACTGTGTTGTTCCATAAGTAATTATTTTAATAATGCTATTTTGAACTTGTTTCAAACAATATCTAGAGTAATATAAAAAAGTATATAATACTTAGAAAAGGTTATGTGTCAAGTTTCTGCGGCATCTAATTGATGGCAGGACCGCTGGCACGAGCCATTAATTTAATATTATTATACAGTAATCTAGTAATCTATTTTTAAAGTTCAACTTAAAAATACTTCTAAGTTTTTATTTTATAAACAATAAACTTTGAATCTAACAAGCCTAGTAGTAAATCGAAAGTCAGTACAATGCATGCAATAAACTCAGAACCATCAACCATCTCAGAATATGTACAAAACTATGTTTATATAAAGCTGACCATCGAAGGTCAGTTTTTCGCGTCAGTTGAAATGACGTCCATACAAAATTTTATCGTGAGTATCGGATCATCACTCCACAGTTTTAACTGACGAATCGCCACGAAAAGGAGATTGCTCAAATTGGCCTAAATGCACAAAAAATATTGACATACACGGTAATTCTTGGCGTAATTTATAATTTAATTTACAGTCATTAGATTTCAACGGACACCTTTGTATAATATATTTACTTTAAAAAGGACTTTTAATTTTACCGGTTTGGAAAACATACGAATCATAAACATACAATAGCTATGGGTGTAGTAACATTTAGCCAAAGACTGATCGAAATTGTTTATATAACATAAATCATTTTTTATTACACTATGTATTAATATCCACAACTATATTATCATTTTCACTAGATGCAAATGTCCTCAGACAATTATTATAGATATTATAAGTATAGATGGTAGGCGACATCATAAAGTCTATTGCCAAACATTTTTCGCCAAACACCTCCATAAACACATTATAATCTGTATATATGTTAGACTTTAAGGTATCTATCTATGGGCATACGTTCCCTGACTATAAATAAATAAATAAATAAAATTATAAGGTGTGATACACTAAAAATATGGTTATTTTAAAAACATAACAAAAATAATGAAGCTACTGAATATATGGCTATAGAACCTAAATCTCTTAGCTTTCTTTGGTTACCTAACGAGAGTTTAAAAATTCTCTCTAATCTGTGGCTCATTCACAATCATCACACAGTTTCTGTCACAGAGTAGCTTATTATAACCGGAAATGACACCTGATTTTAAAAGTTACTCTTATGCATTAACTTTAAAAACAGGCAACTATCTATTAATCTACATGCTCTATATACCTGAATCTAATCCATAATTTCGGTACTTGGCTTGATTTCCCTTGTTTACTATACAACTTATTTATTTTTTATTATTTCAATATGTTCAGTGTATATGGTTTATAGAAGTTCTCAGTGGTGTCCGTCAATAATATTCATTTCTACAGTAATAATTTATATATAATTTCGAATCTAGGAAACAACTTTTTATGATTATTGGTCTTTAGGCCAAACATGTATGGAAGCTGAGCAATCTCCTTTCCGTTGTACCATAATCTAACCCGGCGTCGCGCCAAACGGCCCACGAGTGTGATCGTCATTTCAATGGCGTCAGTTCGCTCGCAACGTGAAAGTGTGATCGTCATTCCAATGGCGTCAGTTCGCTCGCAGCGTGAGAGTGTGATCGTCATTCCAATGGCGTCAGTTCGCTCGCAGCGTGAGAGTGTGATCGTCATTCCAATAGCGTCAGTTCATATTTTTATTTAAGAGTCAAAATAATTTTATGAATTTTAAATTAAGTTTCTGCTTCGAATCAGAATTCATTTTCTTTTTCGACGCAAATAGGTAGTAGACCTCCTAACAGCCTGGCCGATCGAAAACTGAAGAGCCGGAGTGACGCCATTGAGTGGGGAAATCTAGCTGGCCTAAACCATTTGAAGTGGCGCCACGGTTTTGCGTCTAGTCTGACCAGAAAACCTGACCGTCAATGGCCAGCTTAAAAAAACCATCTCCATGGTGATTCATGGACAACGGAAAATATCAAAATGGCTTGTCACCAGACCAAAATATTGGCGAACGTATAGTTTTATTAATCCAATAATTTTATGTTAGTCGTTGGGGCGATTTGGACTACAAGACAACTCAATTAAATTTCAAAATGGTGCAACTGAAGCAGGTGTCTCTCCGGCTAAAGTCGATCAAGAACATCCAGAAAATAACCAAAACTATGAAGATGGTGTCCGCCAGCAAGTATATATTTACATAGTTTAATATTAATCTAAATAATATCTTTATACAGATGTCAATTAAATTTGATGCTTCAATAAGTCTCACTTCATGTTAATCAAACTTAAAAGTTAGATGACTTTGCTGAGTAGGTATAGCTGTTTATGATGGAAGTGATTAAAAAATAACCATAGTATTAAATGAATAGCTTTGTAGGGATGGAAACGTTTTGATTAGCGAGAGATATTATACCGCGTTTCCATCCAGGGCTTGGAACAGTTCCAAGCAAGCAAACACTTGTTCGCTCCTAAAATGGACTGCTCAAACAATGTTGCTGTTTCATTGATGTCTGAGCAAGAGAGCATTCATTCCCTAAATCCAGTCAAACATCGTTGTACGAGCTCGTACGCTAGTTCTAATGTTTCCATTTACCGAGCGAGCAAAAGTTTGCTCGTTCAGAACTATTTTGAGCTTGAGTATTTTACGTTCGGACGTATATTTTTTTTTATCCGGGGCTTCAGGTTTACGAGGGCAGAACGTGAGCTCCAGGCAGCGCGCCCCTTCGGCTATGGTCCACGTAAATTCTACGAATCAAGTCAATTGGTGAAGGGTGATGTGGACAAGAAGTCAGGTGATAAGGCAGCTAAAGATTCCCCGCCTTCAGAACCCGTTAAAGATAAGCCCGACGAAAAGGACGCCAAGGCCTTGAAGAGACTGTACATCGCAGTCACCTCTGATCGAGGTAATGACAACAGATCATTAGACTAGCGGCCCGCCCTCGCTTCGCTTCGGTGTAGAGCTGAAGCGTAGACTACAGTTTTTGTTCTCAGGCTTGTATTATACATAATGACATTCATCTATGATTCTTCTTATACCTACATGCAAAGTCTCAGCCCGATCGGTTTAAAATTGACAAAGTTGCATTCCCTATTTTATCCCCTTGGGGGTAGAATTGATCAAAATCCTTTCTTAGCGGATGCCTACGTCATAACATCTACCGGCATGCCAAATTTGAGCCCGATCCGTCCAGTGGTTTGGGTTGTGCGTTGATAGATCACTATGTCAGTGATCATCAGTCACCTTTGAGTTTTATATAATATAGATTTCAATATAACTGATTTACTGTATGCTTTACACTCCAAACAATTTATCCGTACCTATTTTGAATCACAATCGCAATTAAGACTGTACCTATTTTTGTATAAGCTCATAGGGGTCTCGAAATGTGCTGTGTGGAGTTCTGCCTTACGGACATACACAGAATACCTACCTATCTGCAAGAAATTAATCTCAACAAAAGATGCCAACGAAGCTAGTTGTCTTGTGCACTCTCCTTTGCAGAAGAATTTGGGAAATCTGGATGACATGTTGCTTGACGATGAAAATTTTAAAGTTACTATAGATATGTACTTAGATATTTTTTGAAGAGTTTCCTCGATATCTCCTGGGTCTCGTCGTCCAGATCTTAACTGGTTGAATATAGCGCATCCTTGGGAAGTTACTCCTATCAAACGAAAAAGTTGATTTGTAAATCTAGTCACGAGAATATCGCCCCTAAAATCACGATAAAAATACATAAAGGAACGAAGAATACAGAACCTCTGCCTTTTTTCTTAAAGTCCGCTAAAACTTGCAATTCAATCCGAATCGCAATATGATAATGATGAAACACAAATAAAATATTTCAACTACTGTCTACCATTAAATGCAAGCCTACTGTGTCTTGTATATGTTTCATAATAAAACTTGTGATAATCAAACTTTTTTGAAAAAAATAGGAGAGTGCTTCGATAAAAAAAAGTTTTCCTTAACTACCTTAATTATAAAGGGCTTGGGCATGTTATTTTTATATTCTTATTAATGAAAAAACATTAATGTACTTGAAATGTTGTTTTTGTATTTCATCATTATCATTTTGCGTCTTAATAATTTGAAATTCTTGTACGTTGATATATTATGTATTATTATATTGTCCAAAATGTTCAAAACGTCAAGGTCGAGTAAGTAGGTATTTGTCGCTTTTGTCCTCATGCGTATAATGTGCTAATAAAAAAATATTATTTTAAACAACATGTTGTCAATCTAATACTGCCGAATGCTTAATGCTCTATTGACCCCACAAAGAAAAAATAAGCAAGGGATAAATGGAAATGTTTTGGATGACACAAAATTAATTAAATACCCGTTTCTAATTCGTTTCGTTTTAATACATCATCCACTAAATAGGTTTTCACTGGTCTAAGTGATCTATACGCCTTCATTTTGAACTTTAAATTTTATCATTTTTAACGTCCCTTTTATTGGGCCCAAGCCTTCCCCACGGAAGGAAATAGGGTAAATGGATCATGACCTACGCGGTCCTATCGGAGGTTCCTTACGACTGTAAATGACCACAGAAGTGGCCGGGACCAACGACTTAACGCGCCTTCTGAAGCGTGGAGGAGCTCGAGATAAAGAATTTACGGCTTCGTTCAATGATCGACGATTTTTGTTCTACCATCCAATGGCCTGCCCCTGACGATTACACCATCAAACTTTTTGTTAACTTTATTTCCTTATAAGTATTTATAACGGGAGACGACATACTATATAGTGGAAATCTAGCTACCAATATATGATGATATCTATATTTACATACGGCCTTTACCTTAAAAATGCGGCTGTTTTTTAATCAAGCATAAATCTAGAATAACGTTTGACCCCGAAAAACCTTAAATACAGGTACAATTGTAATGTAACCTAGTTCAGGCAAACTTGATTATTGCATGTAAATGTATTTGTATAGATTTTTTACTTGTCTTGTCATTCTCTATACAGAAGGAAAAGAAGACCCTGATATTAAATTTTGTTTTAAGTTTAGAGAATTATGCCAGAATCGACACCATTATAAAATGTGTGATCACGCGTTTCATTTAAATCACAACCAAATTAAGCCGAATTTGAACTTATTAAATAAATCGGAACACAATCTACTGATTGATTAAAGCAGGTAAACTGGCTTAGACGATAAGTGGTGTAAAAACGGAATTTGTTTTATGACTGCAAATCACATGCCAGCTGGGACCGGTTTTAGTCTGGTCAATCTAGACATTCAAAGGTATATAAATTTACAACAAGCTGGAAGTGACTAAAATAACTCAAAACATAATTAAAAAAATCCCCATCGTTCCGGTACCGGATCAATACGGAAAAAAGATGCGTTTTCAATTAAAAAAAATGGTGGTTTCACTAATTTCATCAAAACTGGAAGATTTATCGTTAAAATTATGTAATATCGTATAATTATGTAATAATTACACAATATACTATACTAATAAAAAAAATTGTAGATCAAAAAATTATCTATATAAATTATATTATTCATATTTTTTTCCTAAAAGCCACCATTCCTGAGATATAACGATTCAAAGTTGTAACGAACCCACTTTTTTTGACCGTTGACCTCGAATTTTTTTTTCTAAGTACCTTAACGATGGGAAATATTTGAAATTTTGAAATGGTAAGTTTTGAACAATTTTAATTACTTTCAGCTTTTTGAGAATTTATGTACCTATCACTATTATTTTTCTGTCTAATTTCGTACTAGTTTGTTTAATAACATACTTTGTATCTCCGTTGTATATCTATCTATGTATCGAATTACGTAACTTTATTTCATCCACTATAATTCGATTGAAGTTCAAGAGGTTGCTCACTGTCTCCGATACGCTTGATAATGTTGCGATTTGGGTTTCATACCTACACACTCCTGAGATATCCACACTTGTACCACACGTGCCATCTAATGTTAATTGGTTTCAACTTTAAATTACCTTAATGATAATGTAATTACCTACCTATTATTTTAATTCTGCTAGACCTCCAAAGTTGTAAAATAAACAGATTTAAGGGCGAACTTCTGTTGAAGCTTACTTTGCATCTTAGTAACTTATTGTTCATACATTTTGTTGGACTAGGTTTGCCAGGTCTTCCAGGTCTTCTTTAAAATGTTATCTATACATGATGTAGCTCTAATAACCTAAACTGAGCATCTTATTATTCGCAAGTGAAATTCTTTACCCGAGCACATATTATCTCTGTGCTACAATCCGGGGTCATTTAAAAGAGAAGTGAAGAAGCATTTCTGTAGGCTGGCAAGGATGTTTGGTGTGGTAATTCATAACTGCTACACCAGCTATTCTCACGTCTGGACTTACCACGACTGAACATCAGATCATATGCCTACCTTAAAAAATGGGTGCGTGTACTTATGTAGGCGCGTGAGAAGTTATCCTTCTTTGGCATCGTTTAAAATTAGTTTTTAATTGCATGCAAATAATTAATTACAATAAATTAATAAAAGTCTGTAAAAGGACACAGTCAATAAAGTTCAGTTTTAATTTGAAAAAATAAATAAATAATCAAAATATTCAATTAAAATCGCTACTGAATATAATTTATTAGAACATATTTGCACTTGTATGAAACTCAAACACGTATTCCGAATATACAAACTAGAAACATGTGGATAAATATTATAAATATGAATACCTATAACTGTTACTTTATTACAAAAAATAAAGATGTGGTTTTTGGTTCTACTACACCAATGGTCAAGAGATGGCGCTGTAGTCTCCTGAATCGCGCTTTGGTTCCGTTGTTCCAGATTAATAAATACTTTTGATATTATAAATATGAATACCTATAACTGTTACTTTATTACAAAAAATAAAGATGTGGTTTTTGGTTCTACTACACCAATGGTCAAGAGATGGCGCTGTAGTCTCCTGAATCGCGCTTTGGTTCCGTTGTTCCAGATTAATAAATACTTTTGATAGGCCTTCACAATGCAGTCGTTAGCACCCACTAAATAGAGATTCTATTTCTATTTTGTTGGTAGATTTTCTTAATGTGCGGTAAACACAAAAGTAACAGCATGAAGTTGGTCAACCTGGTGGACCAACTTCATGCTGTTAATTTTTGTGTTATAGTAATGCGCGCGCATGTTCAAATTTCACTCTCATCATTTTTTCATAACGCGCCTAAAGAAGTATAACTTCAATAAAAAAAATGGTTACAATGAAAAATTGGGATTCGTTCAGGTCTTTGCGGAGGTGTACACAGCGGCGTGGCCCGGCGTATTAGGCGGGACCTGACTGCTCGCAAGGCGGAGGGACCTTCTAGCAAGGTGGTCTGCATCGGTGACAAGTCACGCGCCATGCTGCGACGCATATTTGCGCCAAACATGCTCGTCAGCGTTAAAGATGTAAGCATTCCTTTTACTGTACCTACTCCCTTTTCAAGAAATTTTGGGAATCGAGCATCAATAATTGGGAAATGCCAAGAAAACGCATATAATTGATCAGCTGAAAACTTTCAAAAAAATTGATAATAAATAGTAGGATTCGAGGAGCTCAATCAATGGCGCAAGTGGTTAGCGCGTTCGGCTGCGATCGTTGAACTTAAACAACATGCGCAGTGGTCGGTCATTGGATGGGTGACCTAAAATTACTATCTCGAGCTCCTCCGCGCTTCGGAAGGCACTTTAAGCCGTTGGTCCCGGCTGCATCTGCAGTCGTTAGCACTCACCAATCCGCACTGGGCCCGTGTGGTGGGTCATGGCCCAATCTCCCTATTCAATCCATAGGGAAGGCCTGTGCCCCAGCAGTGGAGACACTAATAGGCTGATGATGATGAAGAAGTAACGGTAACTGTCTTTAATAGAGTGAGAAACCCTTAGTGATTTTCTTAGCGAAGAGCAACTGCCCTAACAAGCGATGGAAAATCACACTTATATTATAAACACGAAAGTTTGTCAGGGTGTATGTTTGTTACTTCTTCACGTCTAAACGGCTGGAGCGATTTTAAATAAATTTGGTATGGAGTTAGCTTACACCCTGGATTAACACATAGGCTACATTTTACTGCGGGAAAATATCCCTAATAAACCGCGGGTGTAATATAATTGTACACGCGCACAGCTAGTGTAATATAATTGTTGATAGCTGTGCGCGTGTACAATTATATTACACCAGCTATTAACAATTATATTATATTGTAATATAATTGTTAATAGCTGTAATATTTGTAAGCACCACGAGACTTTAGTAGCAATGTGCCAATTAGTGTTTTTTGCTTTCAAGATAATGATAGGTGCTTGTCTTATTCTATTGTCACAAACGCTCTCGAAACATAACCGCGAAAGTGCCAGAGATCGAATATGCCAGATCACCGCGGGTCGCGATAGAGGTCGAGTAATGGGGCTCATTCTGAAATGAGCCTAATGCAGTGCGACGTAAGGGAGAAAGTGCAACGACATCTGCACTTGTTTACAAGTTATGCGTGTTACCTGCGTAGGTATAAGTAGGTATTTCGTACTCGCGGGTGCTAGGTAATTCTCAATTTAACAGGTACTTTCTAGAATGCGTCGATCGGCGTATATAAGCGCGATTGACGCCGCGCAGAGACAGTTGAGTTTCAACAGCGATTTCGGAGCGAATCCAAAGGCGATCAAAGTGCAACAAAAGTGTTCGAGTGAGTTTGGTTAGAGACTTGTATAGTGAAATACAGTATTTAGTGAGTGTTTTGTAATTAACATTGTGCGTTAATTGTGTGAACTGTGTGGTGAATAAAGAACTGTCAAGCGTGAACTGGCATATAATTTCGAACCCCATCCCGACACGTAACACTATAATATTACTCATGATTTTTGTGGTATGTTACTGTTAAGCAATTCTCATAGATTAAAGAGTTCAGGACACTTTGTTTAATATAGCGTTAAATATTAAGTTTTAGCTAAAATACCCTATTATTAAGACAACGTGCCTTTGGTGCGCAAATCTTGCTTCAAAACCTGTGACAAGCATTTGTCTTTTGAGTAGCCGAAACATCATTAATTTTTACTTAGCTAATCAATTTTTTAGGACTGAATTACTGTTTGAAGCAATCTGGAATTCGTTAATTATTAGTTCATATCATACGATAATTATAATAATATAACGTGAATGTCGTAAAGTCGTTGACGACGCAATAAACACGCTATTCTTCTTAATCACTTTAATGTTTTATAATTCACAAACAAACAGCTTTTACTTAACAAAATCAACATATTCTCTATCAATCATTTTTAGCGGCAAAAATATTATTATATTTAAGACATCTGTCAATCAAAGACGTTTCCATAGATTATTTCAGTGTAACGGCCCGGCACACGAATAGATCGGCCGGACCTCGACTTTACGGAACGTGGTGCTTCAATAATAATAATAAATCATTTATTTCAACCACGACAATTATGCCAATGACAAAATAATAATAAATAGTAATAATTATGATACATAAAAACAAATTAAATAACATCTCAACGTACAATTACATTTAAAACCAATATAATTTTAAATTCAATCAAAACTATAGTAGCTCCATAAAATCATCATAAGTTTATGAATATCGGCACTGCTGAGCTGGACTTACCGGACATAAAACGTGCAATTATTACCAGCTTACGTACAGCCTGTCTGAAATTGTCAGGTGCTGACGATTTGAACGCTTGACAATCTCAAAAGATTTCATTCTTTCCAATGTTTAATACTTGTAAAAGTATTCATTTGACATGGGTTACCTACAATGCGAAGAGATGGCGCTGCCTTGCAGCTCAAGAAAGGCTAGAGAAAATTTGATACGGCCATCAGAGTCGCGGTAGTATAATAAATAGTCAGTGCATTCGCCCGAGAAGGGTGCGGGTTCGAGTCCCGTCTGCTGACTGGTCCGCGTGTTTTTTTTTCTAGTTCAATTTTCTTAAGATTTTTCTTTAATCTTAAAAGAACTGAGATAAAAACATTTCGGTAACCCATGTAAGTTATGACCAGCCATTGTGAATAAATAACTTCAACAATCGCAGACCGTTTGCGATAGCCACTAGCTCCATTGAAATCATCAGTGTCAACAAAGCTTATGTTACTTATACCTGTCATCATCATCGCCAACCCATTAACTTTTCCACTGCTAGGACACAGGCTTTCCCTACTGCCGTCCTAGTGAAGAATGCATTAAGAGCTTCGACATGATTTTGAGAATATGGCTTAAAAAGTTTGAACTTAGTATGCCGTCGAACTTTAAAAGACATTTTCCCAAAATCATACCGAGCTAATTAAAGGAATCCTCGCTGGGACTGCATAGAAAGATGGTGGGTTATGACTCATTCTCGTTCACTTTCTACTGTCTCACAGATCGGTCGCATAGCACCAGTGTTCGCTGACGCGTCAATGATCGCCGCTGCCATCGCCGAGTCTGGCTACATTTACGAATTCGGTGAGATCTACTACAACAAGTACTTCACGCCCGTCAAGTACGAACTAACCACCATACCCGTATTCGACAAGGTCAGGATGGAGGTATGTAAAGATCTACTTAAGTCTTAATGTACAGTTTATCTATAAAGTCGTGACATTAATGTTTGAGGAACTAACATTATTCATGTGTCTGGCAACACTAAACTTATGTACATCAGCTGTCATCGAGTTTCAGCTGTGGAACAGTTTTCCTTTTGTATTTTTTATTGTTTGGATTAAACTGTAATAAATTAAGACGAAACTACGCAGAAAGGTATAAAAATGAGTAAAGTAAATAGGAGTGGCACGCGGGAAGTGTTTTTTAAAGTTTAAAAGCTGAACGAATTTTGTGGGATTTGGACGATGTTTATGGGCGAACAGCATTTAAGACGGGTATGAAATCGTGCAACTATTTGTTTGTAATCTGCCTGAAGTAACAAATTTACTCAATATACGATTTTGAGACCAAAAAAAGGCATTGTTTACATTGCACATTTTTAGGTTAGATTGACATTGTAAATAGGTAATATTGTAGTACGACCAATTCTTTTGATACCTTATTATGGTTCAACTCGGTCAGGTTTTCTACCAATTTTGAATTAATTGCTTCATGTCAATAAGTTATTGTTTCTATTCCGTTACATATTTTTTTACTTTTTTTCAAGAAAATCAGAGAGTCGGATAGTCAACGAAGGTTTTAAGAATGATGGAAAGTTTGAAACTCCTGGGAAAACAGGCAAGGCCGACCAAAGAAAGAAATGGTCACATAAAGAACCATGGCCAAATGCTTTTACTTAAGATACCTATCACTAATTTTACTAACTGCACATTTACAAATTATTTCTCTAAATAAACTTTTTATATACTAAAAAATGATTTTTAGTATTATTTTCTTAACAAGTGTGTTAAAAAACGTCGCATGATGATACTTGTGTGTATTGATTAATCATCAATAACGGCTAACTAACGGCTAACGGCTCTGGTCTCAATGGCACCTCAGCGGTAATCACCAACATTACACACTTTTACACTATAAAGTACTATTTTATCTATAATAATTTTATTCTGATTCTGATTTTTATAAGCATAGGTACCTAATATATATAAAACAGAAACAAAATACGACTGTATAGTGTGTCTTATTAATTACCTATTTTACTTGAATGAACTGCTAGTATCAAAATCATTTTGGTCCGACGTACAGGGTTGCTACATGCATACTAGTGGCGCCATCATTTAATGTCACGACTTTATAGACAAACTGTATTATACACATAACATTTTTAGGTACTTATATAATACTACTAGTGGCCCGCCCTCGCTTCGCTTCGGTGTTGAGCTGTAGTGTAGACTAAAATGACTCTTCATATAATTATAAATAAAACCGAAAATGGTATATTTGCCTTTTCTAAATTTCTATTGACATCACATCACTCAATTGTTTTGCCTTCCCGGAACCTCTCCACTAACATTTGAAATTTATGGTATAGTTTTAAAGTTCAAATTGACTTTCAAGTATTTTTACGAATCGTTTTTTATGGAAATATAGAAAAGTGTTGTTTTAGGACATTTCAGGCATTTTTTAAAAAATTTCTCTGCATAAGAACCATCCTCGTACTTCAAGGAATATTCTATAAAAGAATTATCGAAATCGGTTCAGCTGTTCTCGAGATTTGCACTTAGCAACACATTCAGCGATTCATTTTTATATTATAGATAAAGAGGTAGAGTTTGCGAGGGTGTGGTAGGGGGTAATCTATGGATCTACGGAACCGATTTTTGAAATTAATCGGGAAATGCCATTAATTATCGCGGTCATGGACGTTTAACGCACTGTTCACGCGATCTGAGTGCAGACGGAACTAGGCTGCGCTTGCGCCTCGCAAGCCTGTAAATAACTCAGAGCTGTGTGAGCTTCTGTACGTATTGTTCCTTAAATGTTCATCATAGCTATAATAAATGGCATTTTCCGTTAGTAGCGTGGCCCCAGCATTACCAATAGAAAGCCACTTGATTTATTTGTGAATGACGCTATTTATTAAAACAAAAACTAAAGTCTAGCACTAGTGTTTAAGTTGTAGGATAGTCTTTATGCTACTCCATTGCTCCGCTAGACATACCCACATACGGTAAAAGAATTGCGAGAGAGACTAATTACTTAGATTGGTTCTCGTCATTACTTTAGAAGCAGATGAATTCTGTACTACTTGTATGGATGGGTATCTATATCTTCCGCTGGATGACGCGTGGGTGCAATGCGTATCAGATAGAAAATTGTTAATCACCCGTCGGATTACTAGTCAATATGAACGTGGCTCATTCTCCCCAACAGTCCGCCCCCAATATGAATGCTTTCGACGACGTGGAAGACGATCAACTGGAGTGTTACGCGGAATGGACTGTGGCAGCGCTCCTCTACTACGCCATGAAGGAAAGCGCCGCCTCGGAACAGTCAGCGCGAATGGCCGCCATGGACAACGCCACCAAAAACGCTGCCGAGATGATTCGCAAGCTAACCTTGCTATTTAACCGCACCAGACAGGCCGTAATTACGAGGGAACTGATCGAAATTATCTCCGGCGCTGCAGCGCTGAAATAAAATGAAATAAACGGCAGATGGAGAAATCGTTAGGCCAGCAATTTGGAGAAAATTATAAAAAATATTAAGAAATGCTTAAATGAATTCTTTTCAGTGAGTCCTAAATAAATCAGGATCACGTGACAGATGGAGATAAAAATGGCCGAGAGGTTGACAATACTTATAAAGAAATTGACGTAGAAAATGATAAATGTGTTCAGTGCACCCTAAACTACTTCATTATTTATCTTGTCTTGTAGTTTAAGGTAGGACATACATGTCCTACACAATTTAAGTTTGCGCATATGCTATACCTGATATGCTTTGTACAACTTAATATTTATAAGTATTTATTAACTGTTGAACTTAGCTGTGACGTTAATGGCATCCACGTTTCGAAAATATTGAGTCTTTATAAAATGTATATGTTGAATAAATGATAACTCGTTCAGTGACAAATTCGTCTTTATTTCAAAAATTCAGTAATTTAAAATATAATAATTTAGGAACTTGTTGACGATGTTTGCAGATCCAACTAGATACTGAAAATTACAGCAATTAAGAGGTATTAACGAAATTAAGAGATTTACAGATTCCAGGCATTCTGTCTCTGGGAATGAGGCATGACAAAAGAAACTAGCTTTTCCAAAGTTTACCGATTTTTTTCCAAAATTATTATTAAATCGATCAAGCTATGTATCGAAAAGGTCTCGCTTTAAAAAAGCGTCACACTCCTAGAATAAATTGGCACAAAACAAAAAAAAAAAATAAAAACCATAAAACGCAATGAATAATCTGTTAAACTTTCCTTATTCCAAAGACAGTTTCTTGGGAACTTATATATATAATTATATTTATGAAACATATCAAGACTTCAAAATATGTTTATTAAAGTTTTACGAACAGTAAAAAACTCGGTATACCTAACAAACTTAATCCACCTTATTCCAAAACGCTGAGAAAAGTTAGTCTTGGTTGAAACCTTACTTATCTCTGTCTTCTTTTTAGCAAACACAAGTGACAGCATCAATTTTAGACCAGGTTAAACTTCTGCCTACGTTTTGTAAGAAGGCGGAAGGAGTTACTTAAGCTTAACTTTTTCCAGACTAGCATGGCATAGTGAAACGGGTGTAGTATTAAATTAACTTATAGATAGGAAGGTAGGCTTTGGTCAGTGCGAGTCCTTGAGGTACTGGTCGTAGGCGGCTTGATCCATCAGTCGCTGCAACTCCTCAGGCTTGCTTATCTGCACCCTGAATAGCCAGCCCTCTTCGTAACACGACTTGTTTATTAATGATGGCGTTGATTCCACTTTATCGTTCTTTTCTGTTACCTGTAGAAATATAAATAAATAAATATTTCCAACACACACCAATAGGGGTGGTGACGGGGTACAGTAAACGAAATTCTATTTAGTCCGTCAGTTAGGCGATCAGAAAATAATGGACACGTATTTTTTCTTTGGGCAATCAACCAAAAAATGACAAAGTTATAGCGTGTCAAAGTTTGGGAGTACGGGCTCGTGACGAATTTTCACTTAAAAGTGTACTCAAACGTGACGTCATGCGACTTTTCAAATCAATATATCTCTGCAATGTTTATATTATGTGAAAAAAGAAAAAAATACGAGTCCAATACTTTTTGATAATCTACCTGATAAACGAAGAAAAAAAATAGTCATCATCCCTCCCCATTAGCCTAACCCCGAAGTAAGCACTGTAAGGCTTGTGTTATAGGATACTTGGGTAACGGAAAGAATATATATACTGTACATTAAATACATATTAAACATCCATGACTGGAGTATAAAGGCTCGTATTCATCACACAAACCTCTCAAGTAGGCGACACCTTGATACCCGGCATGCAAACCACTCGGCCACGGAGGTCGTCATAAAGGAAGTGCGTTATGTTAGTAACTTATTCTTTTTTTGTACAAGGCCTAGGTCTAGGTCATATTACTCCATGACCCCCTGTTTTTATGTCGGTCCTGTACCCACTGGACCTTCAAGATTCGACCCAAAAGTAACAAGTGCCTATAGGACCTCATTTTATGCGTAGAGATTGTTCAAAAACATAGCTACATAAATGGCAGAAAAACGTGCCATGCAGGCTAATCTGGCCTTTGTGACATGTACCCTTAGAATTGAAACTCGATATGCGTCAAATATCAAGAAGTTTTGAATTAAACTATTCCAATTCGATATTGGTTCGTGCTAAGGAACACAATTTCCCTGCCCAATACAGGTTTAGATATCTTTATTAATAGCAGGAAATAATTGCCAAATTCTCGTGTCTATAATTCGCTTCGGCTTTCTGAACAAATTCTAATAAAACCATTTCATTTCATTTTTACTGAACTGGCGCCTTAGAGAAGTGGCTGCCTTTCCATCTTTCTATACGAGTAAACGATAACTGTCTTAAAAATAAACTATTATTATTATATATTTTTAATTATATGTAATATAATATGAAATGTTTTTTTATACACATTATAAAGCTTTATCACCAGCCTATTAATGTCCCCACTGCTGAAGTATAGTCCTTCCCTATGGATTATGTAACATGTAACAGTTTGGGGAATTGAGTGCTGTTGGCGTCGTATTTTAACTTTTGCTTATTGATTATATTTTTGTTTCTCGAATGTCTATGCAACAACGAATCTTTCAAGGCAATTATTGAAAGCTTCATGATAGATGTTATTTCGGTCTAATAGAGGCTAGTATAGTACCTGTTGAATCCAGAAACAGTCATATTACGTGGAAGTCTAAAGCAGCAAATGGTCGTATGCAGAGGCAGCCATTTCAAAAGTATTTTGTCTCCAAACATCATCATCATCATCCGCCTATTAATGTCGTCACTGCTGGGGCACAGGCCTTCCCTTTGGATGGAGTAGGGAGATTGGGCCATGAGCCACCACACGGGCCCAGTGGGTGCTAACGACTGCAGATGCAGCCGGGACCAACGTCTTAACGTGCCTTCCGAAGCACGGAAGAACTCGAGATAGTAAATTTTTAGTCACCCATCCAATGACCGAGCACTGCGAAAGTTGCTTAACTTCAACGATCGCAGCCGAACGCGCTAACCACTTGCGCCATCGAGCTCCTCACCAAACCACGAGTCTCCAAACGTCTAACCGTAATGAAGAGTACATACTGTGCCAGAAACCGGTGTGTAAACCTCGCTGGCTGCTTTGACGCTCTCCAGGGCTCCGCACTCGTCGCCCGCTGCTACTTGCTTGCCCACGTCAGGTAGCTGGGCGAACACGACTTCTCCCAGTGCGTCCTGAAAATTGTCACAAACGAAAATGTTACGTTCAAGGGTAAGTACAGAATAGGTTACTCGACCACTTCTTAGGTAATGTTGCAATCACAGAATATATGTTGTTTCTTTTGGGAAACACGTCATAGGACTCTTTAAAGCTATTCTATTTTAATAAAATATAACTATTATTTTAACACACATTTGTTAAAATAATATTTAATTTTATTTTTGCATTTTACTGCTAGATGTTTAAATCTAAAGAAAATTTTACTAGGAAAAAATCCAAGCGGACCAGGCAGCAGACGGGACTGGAACCCACTAACCGGGCGGATGCACTGACCATTATGCTACCGCGGTCTTAATTGTCCTTGTCGAATTTTCTCTAGCATTTCTCAGGCTGCAAGGCAGCGCCATCTCTTCGCATTGTAGGTAACCCACAATGCCAAATGAATAACTTTACAATTATTAAACATACGAAAGAAGAAACACCAATTATAGTTTGAGTTTATATTTTTAAACTTTTAACTAATAGATGTTGTAATAATAACAAAATATTAGCACAACGAAATCAATATTCATTAATTCAGTTCAGGCTTTTACTAGCACTTGTGAAAGTAGAAGGCTGCGCCATCACTTTGCAAAGTTACGGCGGGAAATCTTGTACTGAGAAGACCCGGCAGAATTCCACGCCACCATGTTGGTTGGGATTCTCGCTGTATAAGGGTGATGGTAAAAGGAAATATTTTATATTTTTACGAGCTCACTGTTACAGAGAGCCATCATCGGGAGAGGGAAACGGAAATTGGTGTTACCGGAGCAATAAATTTATATTTATTTTTGATGTTGCCAACAAGCTGACAGCAAACTTATAAACATGTATTGAGGTCGACTTTCATCACACAATGTAAAATAGGTAACAATAAATATACAAAAGCCCCGAAGTATCCAGTAAACAATTTTCAAAATACATGAGCAAGTATATGGCTCTCTGTAAAAGACACTAAGAGCAAGGTTTAATGTAACTTTAAAAAAATACTGAAGGTAACAATTACGACCAGGCGATTTTATCATTCAAATATTGTTTGACAGTATAATATCCTTAATTAAGCATCAATTTTTAATGTGTGTTTTAAATTCATTAAGAGACGAAACAAGCATATCACTAGGAATCTTATTATAGAAATGTATACCTTGACTCATAAATGATCAATGAACTTTATGTAACCTGTACAATGTCAACTTAGTTTGTTTTATTCCTTGTATTAAAAGTATGTCATCACGGTGTTTGAAATAAAAGTTAATATTGTTTCGAACAAAATGTATCCCTGAATTTAATTTTTCTCTGAAAGATTGTCTTGATCTTTGTTGACAAAAAGCTCTACAGCACGATTTATAAATATATAATGAAATATCTTTCCGATATCTGCTGTTGTTCCCCAGTTACTAATGCCATAGGATACAATACTATGAAAGTAACCAAAATATACAGTCCTAGCAGTATCGTAGCAGTTATTAATAAATACGAGGTTTTAAGAATTAAACTTAAACTTTAAACCAACCTGTGCGTAACTGGAGATACCGACGGTGCCCACGTTGTCGGTAACTGAAACCCACTCGTGTTTTTTTGTATAAAATCGTCCTGAAACAATGTAGATACACACATTTAATGAGTATATTTGTTCACAAGAAATTTTGCGCCTCCAAAAATTAAATGTAGACTTAAGCTTACAACTCCTAGCTGTGCCCGCGGTGTTACCTGCGGTTTATTAAGGAGATTTTTCCGCAGTAAAACGTAGCCTGTGTGTTAATCCAGGGTGTCAGCTAACTCCATACCAAATTTTATTAAAAACTCCAGCCGTTTTGACGTGACGAAGTCAGAAACATACACATTCACATACTCAGAAACTTTCGCCTTCATAATATTAATGTGATGTACCGATAAAGGGGGCTAGCTCAGAGCGTTCTGTCTGCGAAGGTGGAACTTACACCTTTTTACACAAAGGTATAAAACATGGTATAAAACGAATTTTATAAAATTTCTTAATTTTGTTTCACACATTACGTATAAAACACAATATATCGATAACATACAATATTTAAAGTTTTTTTTTATTTTTTTTTAGATGAATAGCTAAGCTGTATAAGCTTTTCATCACGTAAAAATCTTTAAATATTGTATGATTTGGGATGTTAAAGTTTTAAACGCTTCTCCTGAAAAACATTTTTTTTTTCATAAGTGACAGTGTCGCACCGGAGGTGCGATATGTGAAGTAAATAAGTGATTTATACTTGTAAGATACCAGTTGTCTATGCAGTGTAAATGAAGGAATGTTTGAAACAGTCACAACAAGTATTCTAAAAGATTTGTTAAAAACTAGTATATGACTTGTTTCTTGGTGGAAACAAGGGGTTAGGCAACTTTCGCAATGCCTTGTCATTGAATGAGTGACCAAACACTTATTATCTCGAACTCAGTGAGCATAATGTAATTTGATTACTTATGTATCAGTAAACAAATTGCATGACCTATAAAATACTTATTTAAATCAATTAACGTAAAGAAAATTTTACAAGAAAAAAAACACGCCGACCAGGGACTCCAATATGCATGCGGGGAAACTTTCCTAGTAAAATTTTCTTTACATTTATAAATCTGGCAGTTATATGCTCAAAATTAAAAATATAATAAGTTATTCAAATCTCTTTGTTTATAGAAATTATATTTGAATTACATCGTAAATGTGTAATTTGATTACTTATGTATCAGTAAACAAATTGCATGACCTATAAAATACTTATTTAAATCAATTAACGTAAAGAAAATTTTACAAGAAAAAAAACACGCCGACCAGGGACTCCAATATGCATGCGGGGAAACTTTCCTAGTAAAATTTTCTTTACATTTATAAATCTGGCAGTTATATGCTCAAAATTAAAAATATAATAAGTTATTCAAATCTCTTTGTTTATAGAAATTATATTTGAATTACATCGTAAAATAACGACTTGTTAAAAAAGACTTTATAGAAACAAGACCAGCTTTTTGGCAAGTTTAAAGACCGTATTATAGAAAGATTCTCAGTGATGAATCTAGTATTCAGCGTAGATAGAAAGGGATGTCGCTATATAAAGTACATAGCGACATCCCTTTCTAACTGTACTCAAGTAAAGATCAGCGCTTAGTTGTCATTCTGTAATACGGGCCTTAGTCGTATTCAAGTTTTATTTCAAAGAAATGAAATGGGGGATTATACTTCGTGTATAGGACACGGAACAAACGAAACGTATTCGATAGCGGGCACCAGCAGATAACATGTAAAACAAATAGCAAAGCTATAAATATTAATGTTGACATTAGACTCGCGTTGCAAATCATAAACAATCGCATTGCGTTTCAAAGCTTCCGTCTCTCGCAAGAAACGTTAAAGTTTACGTCGCCATTATTACTACACAGCTTATCGGATCAGTGAAGGAATTGCGTAATAAAAAATAATTTTATCTATCTTTATATCTATACAAACATCTGCTCCCTTTAGAAGACCAATTTGATGATATTATAGTAATTTAATCGAGGAGCTCGATGGCGCGGGTCGTTAACGCGTTGGGCTGCGATTGTTGAAGTTAAGCGACTTTCGCAGGGGTCGGTCATCGGATGGGTGACAAAAAATCTTCTATCTCGAGTTCTTCCGTGCTTCGGAAGGCGAATGATTCGTATGTTTTCCAAACCGGGAAAATTAAAAGTCCTTTTTAAAGTAAATATATTATACAAAGGTGTCCGTTGAAATCTAATGACTGTAAATTAAATTATAAATTACGCCAAGAATTACCGTGTATGTCAATATTTTTTGTGCATTTGGGCCAATTTGAGCAATCTCCTTTGCACATTGGTTTTTCTCCTTGACCCATTTTGTTTTAAATAGGCAAATTTGCAAAATAATGTTGTGAATAATTGGTAACAATTTGGCTTAATTATGGCAAATATGAGTAATGTGGCAATGAATGTCAGTTATTAAAAACTTGAGCTTAGAAAAATGATTATGTTCCCATTTTTTCCGAATAAAACGGAACTGCGCGTCACTGTGGCATGGCCTATTATGTTTAGGATATGGTTCTTTTGTGTTAAAATACGATCTAAATGTAACCTTTGGTTTCATGTGCGTATTAATAAACTTTAAAAGTTACAATTTAGGACCTCACTCAACAGTGGCGCCATCTGGTGAGGCAGAAAACGGTAGCCCTCATTCTGATGATACAGCCTGACTTTTCAGGCTGTATCGTCATCGATACGAAACGTCATAAATAAGTAAATCTATACCGTGGAAACTTGTTTTATTTAATGAGCGGTGTGCGTGAAAACCAAATACATGGTAACAATACCGTAATTAGCATCTCAAATTCAAATCTTTGCTCATGAAACATTGGAAGTAGTGCAACAGAATGGGCACTATTAGATGTACTGTTTTGAGGTCTATTAATATCTGTACTTGTTATTGTAAATAATAGATATAGTCGTTAATTTATAAGTACATTTAATATGTTTTCCATGCATGTGGTGTTTTCCTATAAATGTTTGTTACACTCATGTAATTAGTCGCAAATATTTAAATTTATTTTATGTTAAGTGATAACAAATGTTGGAAGACCTTTTAAATAAATAGCATAAATAACTATAATGTTAGTCACCATAAGAGTTAAAAATAATATATCTATTTGATGATTATATTAGAGACGTCAATTGGTGTTTGAGTAAGGTTTAAGTTGATGCTCTCATTTTCTCTGCGATAGCAGAGCCCTCATAGCAAATCTTACTCCTTATGAAAATCCAATTTCATAAGGAGTAAGGTTTTCTCCAAAAAACTTCCTTGAGTATTTGCTTGAACATTACAAATATTACCTAGGTAAGTACATTGACTCCGAAATTATTCGACATTTTAAATATCACCAATACGAACAATTTATCATCGTCAGAAGTTCATTTTCTTGGTTTATTTTTGAAGTGAAAACTTCTTTAGCGGTGTTGTACACTTTTTTTGTAACAGGAAAAAAATGTTAAACTCGCGTCAGGACACGTGACCTAATCGAAAATTCGTAAGACGAAAACAATAAAATTGGAAAGGTTGTTGACTTTCAATATATTGGACGAAACGTAGTAATATTTTATTTTATCGTATTATAATAATAAGTCTCTATCTAGGACGTCCAGGTGGCAGCTTTATTACGAATAAAATGCATTTTTTTACAATAGATGTCGCAAGGTGCGCTGAAATGTGATTCATGTAAGTTAATTTTTCTGAGAGATAAACTTTTTAATGTAATATTGTATTCTACCAGTACTTTTACACTGATAATTAAAGCAAATCGTGCAAAATTATTCCCTAATCATTCCAAAATATCAAAAATGCACAACGTTAATATCAAAGTTTTCACTTTTGCCGGCACTCCCGGAGTGCAACCTGCCGTTTTTTTATACCAAATCAATGTAGGTATGTACCTTTTCTGTGACCAAATTATCAAATGAAGTACCGCAGAGTAATTATTTTATTTTACACATATACATACATACTAGTTATATGCGCCCAATATAATATGTTATTGGATTTTTCATTAGGTATTAAGAACTTGCTTCATAAATATAACCATTACAAGGCTAAATTAAAAGTTGTATTATATAATTCTGAGCAATATGTACAGAAAATGCTGTAAATGCTGTCTGTTAAAAAAAAATACCTATCAACCAGCAAGTCTTACGACATTTTTAATTCAAATAAGTTAGTTATAAAATAGAGAAATCGGACAAAGTGCAAGTTTCTTTCGGATCGGACAAAGTAGGAACTTTCACTTTAACTTTCAATACTTTCGACGAAAAGGATAACCTTTGATCCCGATTTCAACACCATCTTATCTAAGTATACCAGGCTTACCAAAATAGGGCTAAACATAGCCCAAAACATATAGTAAGCCTGCCCCTTTAGCATGACCACCGAAACGGGATATGATAAAGCGATATATCGGCATTTACTGTCAGACTACAGTAGTGTTTGACAGAAGTCTGACAGTTAATGCCGATATACGGGATATGTTAACGCGATATATCGGAATTAACTGTCAGACAACTGTAGAGTTTGACAGAAGTCTGACAGTTAATGCCGATATACGGGATATGATAACGCGATATATCGGAATTAACTGTCAGACTACAGTAGAGTTTGACAGAAGTCTGACAGTTAATGCCGATATACGGGATATGATAACGCGATATATCGGAATTAACTGTCAGACTACTGTCACAGTAGTCTGACAGTTAATTCCGATATATTGCTTTATCATATCCTATTTCGGTGGTCATGCTAGAGAGGCTGGTATACCTAGAAGGAAGAAGATAAGAAGGAATTAAAATATAGCACATTTAAAAGACAAGAAGGTTTGGTATTCTGCTTCAGAAATGCAATTGTATGATATTCTAAAAAACTGTCCTTAACTGATTATAACTATGTAAGGCAATTAAGAAAGTACACTAGTTATACGCATGTTCACCTAATGGCGCGATTACACATGGTCGCTAGCCCGAATACGAGTGCCAATGGAATTCGGGTAAACGACTGAATATAAATGAACGGAGTCGAGTACGCCCGTGTTCCGGTAGATTTCCTTTTGTTTACCAGACACCGTCTTCCAGCCAGTATTCCAGTGTAAATATTGCTTCGGGTACCCGAATCTCAGTAATGTCTTTTGTGCACCCGAAAACGGGCTAACGACCATATGTAATTGCTTAATAATGCTAAGTGGTGAGCCCGTTTTTTTCATATATGTATTTGACGTTTGCCAAGTAACTAAACTATGATAAGTATATCTCTTACAGGAGATAAGTGGGATCACATCATTCACTCGATTTCGTGATGTATGTATATAAAATTTAATGTCTTATTTACTCTTAATTAACTTGCTAATAATATTATTAGCTAATATGTCAAAGTTTGTTATCTATCTTGGAATGATGACCACGATCATTAGTTTAAAGTTTACTAATACTATTGTCAATAGTGTCTACTTAATTATTATAACACTGAAAATACAAGCATGAATACTCAATAACGTAGGTTTATAATATACTAGTGGCCCGCCCTCGCTTCACTTCGGGTTAGAATTGATCAAAATCCTTTCTTAGCTTTCAGTCGGATCCGTTCAGTGGTTTGGGCTGTGCGTTGATAGATCACTATGTCAGTCAGTCACCTTTGAGTTTTATATATATGGACAAAAAGTGAGTAAAAATTTAAAAAACATATCATAATGCGGTGTTATTAAAAATTAGTTAACAATCATCAAAATATCTAAATCTAAGTCCAAACTACAAAATATTTCGCTAAATGCTGCTCTTTAAGTGACTTATAAAAGTGTTTAAACATATTATGTATACCTATAAAGACAATTGTAAGAAAATAAATTAAAATGCACTTATTGTGTACAGGGCCCTATCTAGAAATTTTGCCGCCCTTTAGTGACGTACTTTACGGCTGACCCTAAGTAAATTTTGCCGCCCCAAATTTTTGCCGCTCTGGGCAAGTGACCAGTACCCATAGTACGAGTTTGAGCTTACGAAATCTATCATAGTTTTCGTAATTGTAAATTATGTGTCTATGTCCATTTTGGTGAAAACTAACCAAATATACGTAAAATTTACGCAAATGATTTTAATAATAGAATTTAAACACTGTTTATTTGTATTGAAACGAAAACAATAAAATCAGTACCCTTAGTACGAGTGCGAGCTCACGAAAACTATCATAGTTTTCGTAATTGTGTACTATCGCCATTGGTCTCACTATAAGCAGACGGGCGCTCCCGTGGGAAAGGGGAATTGGTTTTCTTGTATTACCCGATTTTCTGCCTTTGGTATCTTTGCAACTGCTGTAGACGACTTGCACAGTGTCTAGCTTATTATAAGCGAAGCTTTTTCAAGTGTAGCCTCAACTTAACCTGAACAGACACAGTTTAACAGCTGTTAGAAAACTACCTTTAAGCATGCATCGTCGCTTAAATATTTTACCTTTGGCATCGGTTGCGTAGGCGGCTCTTTGGCAGCATTGTGACACCATGGCTGATCTGCCGACCCTTGCCGCCGCTCGCACAATTCCACATACAACCATTTTCTAAACCTGACAAGAAAAGAAAGGATTTTTCATTTCCATCTTCCATCGGAGTACAGGAATTTTGATTTTGAGCCGAGAGAAGTACTGTGCACGCTCTACTAGGCGATAATTTACACACGCACATTGTATTAATATTTGAAAATTAATTGTTTTAATGAAACCAATGGTCCATGTATACCTACCAGCGATACATAATTCATTTGTCATCGTGTTTAATGAATGTTAAATACGCATCGGTAATTACGCGGAAGACCTTTGAAGTGTGAAAAAGAACCGATTTCCCAGGATTTTTTTTTAACGCTTACATGTACGCTGAGCACATGCGTGTCACACGTGGTTGTTACACTTCATCGGAGCCCATTGATTAAAATTATATAATGTATATTCGACAGCGTATTACTACGGAATTGGACTCCAAATCGGTTCCTTGACCATGGATCGGCAGAGTTAAAAATATATTTTAGGCAAGTATTTTTATCACACAATATTTGACCAAATAAATTTAAACTTACCTAATTCGACGTGAACTGGAGGTGATAAGGAGCTGCCCTGCCGGCGTGCGGTCCGTCCCGGTGGCTGGTAACGAATGTCTCGACTCGGATGTTATCAATCCGACACGATTTGGGATCATTACTTAATATTCCTCATAGAAGGATCAACAAATACTAATGTGAAAGATAATTCAGATTTTTAAAATGAGCATTTTGCTGCAATTCCTTAAATATGTATATGTCGTGGCCATATCGTAGATTTGATTACTTCATGAAATGCTCGAGAATTTCATGAAATGGTCGCATTTCAATTATACGATCCGGCCAAATGTGGATGACCAAATCGTTAAATGTTGACGATTTAATGATCTGGTCAAATTAAGTCTCGAGCATTTCATGAAGTGAGCAAATCTACGATATGGCCACGACATATACATACTATAGTCAATACTTTGTGATGCGAGAAGAAGCGAGAAGTAATAATTTTTTTGTAACCCGTTGCTTAAGCTCCAAGTTCGCACATGGGGTTGCCAGATGTCAGGCTTTCGACAGGGCAGTTCGGTTTTCTTTCGTTTGTCCAGTCAATAAAAACTGTTCTGATGCTGAAACCGCTCCCGTACTAAGGTTGCCAGAGAGCCGACAAATCCGGGAAAGTCCCGGCGTATGGGCTAGTGTCCTATGTGTGTGTAGCAATAGGGTATTAAACATTTTTTAGAAAACGTTCTTTAAAAGCGATTTTTATTTATTATGTTGCTGTGTAATGTCATTCATAAAAAATATGTTAAGACTTCTGCTTTCAAATATGCCGCTTCATCATTTCTCTAATCAAGTCAAGCAAGCATGGAGTAAAGAGGGGGGGGGGGGGGAAGGGTCACTCCCCTGCTCTACTCAGAATGAGCACTATAAATGTCCTAGAATTCATAAACCCTATTCGCAGAACAGACACAGAAATCATCATCATCAGCCTATTAATCCACTGCTGGGGCACAGGCCTTCCCTGCTGGATGGAATAGGGAGTGCGGGCTGTGACCCACCACGCGGGCCCAGTGCAGATTGGCGGATGCTAACGACTGCAGATGCAGCCGGGACCAACGGCTTAACGTGCCTTCCGAAGCACGGAGAAACTCAAGATAAAAGATTTTTGGTCACCCATCCAATGACCGACCACTCCGAAAGTTGCTTAACTTCAACGATCGCAGCCAAACACGCTAGCCACCTGCGCCATCAAGCTCTTCAATGGCTCCTCAATGGAATGGTCCTCTGAAATACCGAGGACTAAATATGAACTCTTCGATACCTACCTATGTGCACTTTTTTGGTTGTCGGTGAAACCGTTTTGCATTCCCCTTAGGTTGATACGGATTTTCAGGCAAGTGCAAAACAGCTAAGGACAACTTCACAATGCACTCAACATCAGGTGAAGTGGAGTAACTTAATACCTTGTTTGAAAATGGTAATTTAAGAACAAAGGTCGAGAGAGGTTGGAACAGTTACCAGCGACCGTCTGTAATGAGCATCTTCCTTGTCCACGAACCACTTATGGGTGACCTGTTTTGTACAAAGCAGTTATTGAAATGATTAGTAAATTTAGCATAGTTTACCTAATGTCTCTTTGTTTTGTCAAATACATTCAACATTAATCGTGGATCAAGTGCCCACAGATTTGACCTACTGATTGACCACGGTATATGCCAGGGATGTTACAGAGCTTCGACTCCGATTCCTTTACTTTTAAATCGGAGGTTTTAATCAGAGGTCGACACAGAACGACGGCGCGGCGGCCTGCGTCGACCGTTATGAACTGGTTCGCAGCCGTCGCGTTGGGAGTCTCTGTTAATAGTAAGTAATTTAAAATGAAAAAAGGTTGACTGAATGATGTTGTTATTTGTTCTTAAATGAAAAATATCTCTCTTGTGACCACTTCTGAAATGCCGCTGACCCCGACTCTGCCTCCGACTCCGATAAATCAAATTTAAAAACTCCGACTCCAACTTCGGTTCCGATAAATTTAGCTCCGTTACATCCCTGGTATATACCACCATATACCCGTGGCGTTGGGTCTGTTTTTGCCTCTTTTTCTCTCTTTTAACTGATAATAAGAACGGGCGCAAAAAAAAAACATCAGAATTTAACACTTAATGGATCATACATATATGAATACATGGGCGAATGATATATTATTATTCAATAAAGTAGGTACAGTGCGATTCAAAGTTAATGGTGAGATTGGTGAGTGTGATGTGAAGTTAACGCAAGTCCGCAGTGCAGTAGAAGAAAATGTGGCAGATCTAGACGCGCGCGAACATTCACCGAGTCATATAATTGAAACCTGCGCCTAGTTGCACTCGCTGCTTACTTAACCGCCATTAAGTATGAATTGCACTGCACTTACATTACTTCGTGAAAATTAAACATCCAATCGAGGATAATATACGTAAGTTATTGTCTTATTTAACGAAATTAGTACGGCTCTTAATTATCTCGCAATGTAATACTGCTCCCCTATTGATCTGCTAATTACTTACATTCAGAGTCATAGGTAATGTGTGACACTGATAACATTGTTTGTCGGCCGATAGATAGCTTTATCGATGACGGCTGCCGGCTGTCCGCAGGGGGTCGGCTGACGTAAGCCTTCGCATATTTTATTGTTGAAAACACTCGATTGCTCTTACTCTGGGTGTCGATTCTGCTAAGCAATAATCTTGTCTTTATGGTGTTTCAGTAGTTAAATGATTTAGATTTGCCCCCCCCCCCCCCCTGATGTTATTTTAGTTGGTGTCAATACAGTACAGTACAATGATACGACATCATTAGACAAACTAAATAAGTTTATTGGTTATATATTATATTATAACTTACAGGCTCATGACTGGCATTTTGTAATAATCAGATCAATCATGGAGTATCAGTCGCAGCACGAAACTCTAGCACTGACCGTTGTTGCGCAGAAGTAAAAATTAAGATGTCTTGGGGGGAAACGAGGTGCGCGGGTGGGCGTGCGTTACGTCGATTGGCTCTCTAGTCGTACAGCTATTGCCTCCGCGTTTTGTTCAGCGCTAGAGTTACGTGCCGCAACTTGTAGTAGTGCACAGACTAGTGATGCACCATAGTATTAATGACGTTCTCATAACAACGTTAAGAGCGGACGCGAGCTGAGAGATATTTGAGAAATAGGTATTTGAATAAACTATTGCTGTCGCGTATTGGTAAATTCCAAGCGATAAGGACGCTAAAAGTTGCGTATAAAAATTGCAGAAATGGAGGTTTGGCTCTCGAGGATTTCCTCGAAAATAAGATAAATGTTAAATATATTTTACCCACAGAATAATGAATAGTCATACTAGGCCACTATATTTTGCTTTTTTTGTAAATATTTATTGAATTTCCACAGTAGATTTCTTCAGTGGTGATAAAAATAATTGTTTATTTTTGGCATTTTTGAGTGCTTCTAGTTTCTTTGAAACACAAGTTACCGAAAAAAGTAAGACATAGGTGTGGTAGGAGCACAGGAATATGTAAAATTATATTTAATGTATGAAAATTATTTCTTTAGTGATAAAACTATTTAACAAAAAATTTAACCAGTTAAAAGTAAATTAAAAGTAAAAAAACCGGCCAAGTGCGAGTCGGACTCGCGCACCGAGGGTTCCGTACAAACTCAATTTAATACCTCTACGCGTTCATGAGAAAAGTGGTAGTAACTTTAAAATTTTCAAAAATATTTTTTCTTATATGATGTAACTAAAAATTTATAGTTTTCGCAATTTTTCCTTTATCTGTACGATAAGACGTTACTTCGTACCAAATTTCAAGATTCTAAGTTCATGGGAAGTACCCTGTAGGTTTTGATTCCCGTGCGAGTTTCGAAAAGTTGCGGAAATTTGCGGCATAAACGGCTGTATCTTTTGATTGCGTTGGCTTAGAAGTTTGATTTTTTCACAGCTTCAAGGGACAGTAGACCTGAGTAATTGATATAAATTTCAGCTTCATACCTCCACGCGTTCCTGAGAAAAAGGGTCTTGACAGACGGACGGACGGACAGACGGACAACAAAGTGATCCTATAAGGGTTCCGTTTTTCCTTTTGAGGTACGGAACCCTAAAAATAATAAACCTTTGTTATCTTTAGTCAAATTAATATTTGGAGTCGGTGCCAGTGCCAGGCTTACCCAAGTAGCAAATGGGAACTCAGATCTATCAGACCTGTTCCAATAAAAAAAAAGAATTATCAAAATCATACTACTCTGTAAAAAGTAATGCGTGCTGCTACATAAAAAAAACGACGGGTTGCACCCCGGGAGTGCCGGCAGAAGTGAATTCTTGAATATTAACCTTGTGCATTTTTGCTATTTTGGAACGGTTAGGGAATAATTTTGCACGAATAGCTTTAATTATCAGTATAAAAGTACTATATTTATTTATTGCGCTGTCGTACACAAACATGACAATTTTAAAAAAGGTTTCTCTCAGAAAAATCAACTTACATGAATCACGTTTAAGCGCACTTAGCGACATCTATTGTAAAAAAATCAACTGACATGAATCACATGCGCACCTTAAGACATCTATTTAAAAAAAAAGCATTTTTTCGCAACAAAGCTGCCACCTGGACGTCCTAGATAGAGACTTATTATTATAATTACTATGTTTCGCCCAAAATATTGAAAGTCAACAACCTTTCCAATTTTATTGTTTTCGTCAAATCCCCGATCAGGCCACGTGTCATAACGCGATCAGCCCACGTGTCCTGACACGAGTTTAACATTTTTTACCCATACAAAAAAAAAGTATACAGAGCCGCTAAAGAAGTTTTCACTTCAAAAAAACAAATACGCGCCGACAACCACCTTGGTTTTTTTGTCGTTTAAAAAATCAAGGAGGAATTATACGAAAACGTTTGTATGATAAATCCTTTGCCCGCCTCCCCTCTTAAGTGGTTGCCGTCGCCCATGGACATAGCAATGTCAGTGACACAGCCGTGCCGCAGCATTTCGTTGAACACTCTATTAAAGTCACTCTTAGAGTGGATCATGTTAAAGTACTGAGGGAACACCGTGGAGACGAGCTCATTCCATAATTTTATTGTATGTGTAATAAAAGATCTCTGGAAATTAACAGTTGTGGACTTCAGGGTTTCCAGGGGGTCATTTCCCTTACGGGATTGCTATGGCTATCGCTATCGCTTACGATTTCATTTTGTTATTTCTGACCCCCGAAGGTTTTAAAATACCTTACGCTCATTTTCTTTTATAGTGTTATTACCAATGCAAAAGAAAAAACAAGCGCGAGGCATTACAAAACCCTCAGCGGTTAGAAATATGAAAATCGTGAGCGATAGCGACAGCCATAGCAATCTCGTTAGGCGATTGGTCCCCAGGTGAACTCGACTCCGGTGATGGGTGATTATAATCACGATAATTAACGTTACTAAAATAAAAAAATCACAAAGTATTTGCTTAGTTATTTGTTATTGTTATCTTTAAGTATTTTATAATATTGATCTAATCATCAAAAGTACCACTCGAAAATCAGTCCAGGCGTTTAGGAGATGTACATTTGCGTACTTACAGGCAGAAGAAATATATTACAGCTCACTCAAAGAGTTACTAATAGCTTTACGTGAGAACATGGAGGCACGAATGGGATTGAATGCCGTTTTTTCAAATATACATAGGAAATGAAATGAAATGAAAAGTCATTTATTCAGTCTAGGCTGTTACAAGCACTTGTGAAGGTCAGAAGCTACGCCATCGGTTCGCAAAACTACGGCGGGAGACCTTGAACTGAGAAGAACCGGCAAGAAACTCAGCAAGGGCTGCTTTTTTCCCCCTGTATTGATATAAACAGAGTCGTCAAGTTGAAAAATTACTTAAGAGATACTTCTGAAGTAAAAATGTATATTAAAGCGCTTAATTAGATTTATTTAAATATGAGAAGTTAACTCTTATTATAACGAATTTAGAACAGACCTCCTTGAAAAGAAAATATAAAAGCGCCTGAGCAAAATTTTATGGCAATGATGAATTAATTTCATTTATATTTTAGTAGGCGCATAAAATTATCAACATTCGTGAACGTAGCTAAAGTGCCCTTAGCAGGAACCTTTATCGAATTCGAATAGTTTGCAAACCGAAATGTCAATGTCAAAATTTGTATGGAAACTTGAACAGCAGCGGCGCAAAGTACGTAACGAGAACTAAAAATCAGTACACATTTGACAATGACATTTCGGACTCGCAAACGATGCCAATTCGATATTGGTTCGTTCTAGGGGTACTGTACCCATCGTTTGCGAGTCCGAAATGTCACTGTAAAATTTTGTATGGAAACTTGAACTGCAGCGACGCAACGAGAACTAAAAATCACTACACATTTGACAATGACATTTCGTACTCGCAAACGAGCTAGGGGCTCGTGCTAGGGGCTCGTGCTAGGGGCTCGTGCTAGGGGCTCGTGCTAGGGGCTCGTGCTAGGGGTAATTCAAATAGTTTGCGAGTGCGAAATGTCATTGTCAAATGTGTACTGATATTTAGTTCTTGTTGCGTCCGTTATGGCGCTGCTGTTGAAGTTCCCATACAAAATTTGACATTGACATTTCGCACTCGCAAACTATTCGAATTCGATATTGGTTCGTGCTATGGGTACAGCTCCGTTCTAGGTAGGTGACATAAATGAGCGCGAAGGAAAAAAATATTTCTTGCCTTCCATTAAGAGACGGTTTCAAAGAAAAGGTAAATCAGCGAGTTTTACCAAATCATCTTAGCACAAGAGCGTTGTTAAACATGTATCTTTTCTTTTTCAAAATATATATTTTCTCTTACCCTTTCTCACCAACAAACATTTCTTAAACTTAGTGAAATAAAAACATTCTAGTAAAGAACATAATAGCAGCATTTTACCTGAAATAAAATGCATATTAAAATACTTACCTCACTGAAAGCTTTATATTGAGATAGCACTTCCGTTTCCCGTCGAATTACCATCAGTTTCCGTACTTTTATTCACCTTGTATCCGGTCCAGTGGCGACACCTGGCAGAAGCGCGGCCATTTTTGTTTTCCTAAGTTTTGACAGCGCCATACTAACTCATTGGCTCAATTATTTCACCAGGCAGAATTTAAAGTGAAAGCTTTCAGTGAGGTAAGTATTTTAATATGCATTTTATTTCAGGTAAAATGCTGCTATTAAACTACTTGACCGTCACTGAAAGCTTTATATTGAGACCTGTTTGTTATCGCCTGGTGATCGCCACGTACATAGATATATACGCCAATGTGACAATTTATGATAAATTTAAATATTAACATTTATCAGATTATATGAAACTGTATAAAGAAACGAGTAAGCTTAAAAATGGATCAAATAATATTATTTGAATCACGGCTTTAATTTCTTCACGCTTACGAAGCTGCTTTAACATATGTATTAGCTGATCGCTATATTCCTTTGCTTAAAACTCGCGAATTATATATATATATATTTGCTTTGTTAATGACCGGACGCTTCCTTGTGTAGCATTCATTTGTATCTTTGTATATCACAAATAAGGCGTACGAATGCGAGAAAAAGATTTAAAGTTGTTCGATACTGAGTCTTACATTTTACAATACTGTACTTTTTACTTAAGTACCAAAAATCAGGGTCCCACTTGCGATTACCATTATTCGATACAAGTCACCAATCGGATTGTCTTTAACTACTTTCACCTGTTTTGAACCAAAACAAGGCTAAAACTAATCTTCGTCGGTACAAATACAATGATTCGGAATAATTTGAAGTAGGAACAAGTCATGTGTACCACATGCTGAACCAAATAATATGCAGCATAATTACTGTATGACGTTCAGAACAACAACTAGTATGACGAGGTATTTGAAACAGATCGTTATGATATAACGAGTACATTATTGAAGAAAAGGAAATGATTCTTTAAAACAATCGACTTCCATATATTATTATGTGTTTGCCAAGACAGGTGAGCTTAGGTAATTAGACTTATCATCCATTGGTATATCATGTAAAAACTACCGACTTATTTAGAATAATGGTACTTATTTTGAGATAAGTCACGTGTTAAAATAAGTCTCAAATCGTGTTAGCTCAGAGCCGAGTCCACAACCTGCGGGATTATTCCGATAAACATTCTTGTTCCTAGACCAATGCAACGACGCAAGCCAGCGTTTCCGAGCCATCTCATAGCTGTTTAAAACAGAGCTGTCGCTCTTTGTAGAATATGATAAAAAGCGTAGTGCTAGCATATCTAATTGATTGGAGTGGAGATTGAAGTGAAGTGGTAGAGCCGTATTCTCCAACTATACTTGCCAAGCTTTCATATTAGATTGGCAGGAAGTGATTGCAAGGTCGATTGCAATGAATTTATAACTATTGTTAGAAGTAGGGAGTGGTTGATACAACCCCACGGAATGACAAACATGTTGAAACCGATCAACTTCTGAAGTTTTACGTTTTTACAAAGAAATTCTCAGGTATAGTTTTTATATTGTTGCAGGGTTGCCGTGATAAATTATGCTATTACGAAGTTCAGACCAGATTTTATGAAATTCATTTGCCATCCTGGAATCTATAATTGATTGTAATTTTTCCTTTTGTTTTTCAGTTCTTAGATCTGAGTCATTCAGTCAGTTATTTATAAGATTTACACAGTTTCATGAAGTGTGCATGTAGTATGCGTAGGGTTTGAAGTATATTTATTCCAGACAGTCGTGGCAAGGTTAGAAAGCGTAAGTTTAATATTAAGAACAGTTTTCAGTATTTTTTACTAAAAATAACATAAAGTGGATAATTGCATACAATGATCTTCAAAACCTTTCAAGAATTTGGTAGATCGTGCAATTTTTCTTCAGTACATAGCACCACTTATATATCAAAATGATCATGTTGGCCACCTCGGACACCTCATACACGACATTTCTAATATTGCAAGTTTCTCTCATTACCCGATCAAAAGAGTGAGCAACCCATTTGGTTTACTTTTGTTATTTTCAAGAGAAAATATGTCATCATCTATCTATCTGGCAGATAGTCCTTAAATTGCAGAAAACTTAGAATTCTTTACATAGTTATAGTGTACTGCACTTGAGATTGGAGCTTGATATATATTGGATTTAGATAAACAAGCTTTTGAATGGCATGCGACACCATTAAATTTATTTCATAATTATTTGTGGTGCAACCAATTTATCAACTGTCCTGCACTAAATTTTTTCAAAAATTAATTGTTTCGATATTCCTTTTTCTTTTGAAATGTATTACAGCACGTCCTCGATAACTATATTACGGTAGAATAACCGTAGTGATCGAGTCAACACTTCACACCAATTAGCCTAGCCTCATAATAGGCATTGAAAGACTTGTGTTATGGGCTAACGCATAGAAATGCATAATGATGATGCATAGATTGATATGATTTTGAGTTAATATTTGTTAACAACCAAGACTTAGGCACAGATGCTTGTTTTAATCATACAATGATTTGCCCCACCGGGGTGAACCCAAGACCTCGGAGTATGCGACACCTTTAAAACCACGTACATTGCACTTCACAATGGGGTACGTCAACATTCGATGTTCGATCTTTATAGTCTATTAAGAGGGTAGTTTATAGCCAATACTTATGTGTGTACGCAAAACATGAGAGGGTATGTTGCGTTGCGTCGATGTATGGATTTCCACGCGATGGAAGTAATGAATTATGTCAAGCGACATTTATTATATTTTCAATTTACTTATTTTTAATGTTTCGAATCGTTTACACTTTTACAGACCCCATAGTCACAAAAATAAATTATGAATCACGAATAGACTATATGTTAAATTATGCATAATTTGCTCCACTCGAGTGTCGTATGTTACCGGTGCTTACATAATAGCACGAACTCCATAAGCGAACATGTTCTAAGGAAAACATATATTGAGCTTCACGTAATAGAAATAATATATTATGTGTGATATGACCCCACAAGGTCGATTATAAGATTGATGAGGATATTCCTCCATCAACGATATTTTGTTACCGATACTTGTATGTGTAGGCAAGCCATGGAAGGCATGTCTTTATTCATAATGAGTTCCATACGGTGGAAGTAAATTATACATAATATGCCCCCGCGAGGGGCGGTCATTAGAGTTTTGGTAATATGCACCCTGCGAGGGTGGTTTGCTACCGTTACTCGTATATGTAGGCAAGGCATTAGAGTCATTTCATAAGGTTCCACGTAGTGGAAACAAATTGTATATAATATGCACCCCGTGAGGGTGATTTGCTGCCGGTACTCGTATATGTAGGCAAGGCATTAGAAGCATTACATAAGGTTCCACGTAGTGGAAACAAATTGTATATAATATGCACCCCGCGAGGGTGATTTGCTGCCGGTACTCGTATATGTAGGCAAGGCATAAGAAGCATTTCATAAGGTTCCACGTAGTGGAAACAAATTGTATATAATATGCACCCCGCGAGGGTGATTTGCTTCCGGTACTCGTATATGTAGGCAAGGCATTTGACGCATTTCATAAGATTCCACGTAGTGGAAACAAATTATATATAATATGCACCCTGCGAGGGTGATTTGCCACCGGTACTCATATGTGTCGGTACGCCATGGGAGGGCATGTCCTGACACGCCTTGGGCTTCATGAGATGAAGCTTATGAGTATCATTTGCCTCTGCGTGAGTTGAATCCATGACTAATTCTGACTTAATACGAGAAAAACAATCTCAAAAGCTCTAAATCATTATGGGTGATTAGATAGTATCTTATTAAGTGGTGCTTCATCACAGAGATCACTAACTTCTTAAGCAGTGCTTTAGTTTTTACTTTTGTGCCCTCACTAGCTGTAAAAGACCTAAGAAACGATTCTGTTATCTTATCACTTTCGTTATTAAAATTAACTGAACAGGTGCCTTCCCGCAATGATTCATTTTTATTTTAGAAATATGCAATTGCTGAAAGAAAATTAATGTCAGGAACGTGATATATCATAAATTATCATCATACTTCTTTACCTCGTTGTTTGTTTCCAGGTTGGTAAAGCCTGGACTATGATTATAATTTTCAATTTACATCAGCATATCATTTAAAATAAACGTTGAATGTCTTTCGAACAGAGCGTTCCTTTATCCTAGTTTAGTCACACGACTCACATGAGAATTTTTATTACGTGTATTGGTCAGTAAAAATGTTAGAACTTTTTATTCATAAGCCTTTTGATATTGATAGCTGGCCATGTTCAGAAAAAGGCATATCGACATTAGAAATACCTTATTAAGATTGTACATAGTTCACTTACCCCTCGAACAATCTTTTAATAAAAGGGCTGGAATATCAAGCTCGCTTACTTTTCTTGAGACAGCGATGCCGCTTTCGTTATACCAGAAGATGACAAATTCAACCATCTTGCTGATTTTGCCACTAATGCCAGTCAGTTGGCGGCTGAAACGTCAATATTGACCGATGTTCCTTCACTCTAAACTATAAAATAATTTAATTAAGTATTTTGTAATACATTTACCAATTTACTTTCACACTTACTTATACGGAAACATTAATTGAGTACCAAGAGAAAACACTCTTAAAATAGTTTTTATTACAAACGACCAAGACAGTCGTAAAGTATTGCAAAATTTACTTTAATGTAGGTACTTTAATTTTTTTTAAACAAAACGCACCTTGAATGACCGTCAAGTTTTACTCACGGCTTATTATAACTTTTTTAAACAAGGGTATTGCACAATTTAACATATTTGTTTTAAATATCCCTTATCACAAGGGCTGCAAAAACTATCAAAAAGAATAATAGTTTTACTTACGGTTCCTTCACTTTTAACACGTAAAGTACCTATTTGGAATAACACGAACGGCAAAACCCGTTAAAATAAAATAGTTTTACTTACAGTTTTATCACTTAATAATAATAAAACCTTTAAAATCTCACAACGATCGCTCAGATTGAGCACGTGTTGCTTCGACGGGAGTCAGAACGCCAATGAGTTAGTATGGCGCTGTCAAAACTTAGGGAAACAAAAATGGCCGCGCTTCTGCCAGGTGTCGCCACTGGACCGGATACAAGGTGAATAAAAGTACGGAAACTGATGGTAATTCGACGGGAAACGGAAGTGCTATCTCAATATAAAGCTTTCAGTGACGGTCAAGTAGTTTAATATATTGGCAGACACACCTAACAAAACTAAATACAATAGAAATAATCAAATTTAATACAGCTCATTACTTTATTAAATTACCATTCAATTAACTTTTCAAAATAATTATAATAATAAAACTTAAAGTGTTTGTACATACGCATTTTTTTTTTGTTTGACTGTATCTCTTTTTATCTTGCAGTCATAAAAAATGAATCGTTACTTTTTTTTCAGTTAGATGTTTAATGAATAGTTTTTACTCGCATTGAACTCCCATTCATGAATGTCTTGTCCAGTATTTTACCGCAAGTAGCAAGGTATCGCTTGAGCGGTGCTGAATATAGCGCTAATAGCGCTGTAAGTGGCTGCCAATCCCCCGATGACTCCGACAGCGATCACCTCCCAGCACACCAATTTCATCCAGCCCGGTGTATCCCTGAAACATAAATCATTATTCTCCTTATTAAAAACGAAGAATAAGCTTGTACTAGTTATACCAATATAGCTATTAACGGGATTGTTACCATGTACCTTGTTTTTTATGAGTCTCCGATATTTCGGCATTGTTGCACTGTTGAAATAATGATACGCAAAAATCAGCCATCGCGGAACATTTAATTGATTCGGGTCCTAATCACTGGATTGAGCTCCGTAATCCACAAATTATCTCGACAGAACGCCACTACATGCCAAGATTGGTCAGGGAAGCGATTGAAATAACCAAACACAAGAATTTCAATCTTGAGGATGGGTTTAAATTGTCAAATGTTTGTAATCCAGTGGTTCGTATGTGTAAAAACCACAAAAATCAAAAAAGTGTCGTTCCGCGATCTGATACTGTGAGTATTGTGTGAAGGGAGGGAGGGAACAAGTGAGAGTTAATAGTGAGAATGTGACCAGTGGTCGAGCGCAGTAAAAGACGACGTCAGAGTGTAGACCGATATGTCTGCCAATAATATCTACCCGCAATTACTTCAGTTACTCCGTGATCATGGCGCTTGCAACAGTGTCTAAATATCGGAGGCTCATAAAAAACAAGGTACATGGTAACAATCCCGTTATTAGCTATAATGTTAGTGACAATGAAAGTTAAAATCAATATTCAATGACAAATGGCATATGAGTGACATGAACAAAACACGGCGTAACTAATTTAAGCTTATTCTTTGATTATTATTAATAATAGGGCATGTGTTTTATTCTATTCATTTCGTTAAGAAAGTTATCAACGCAATCTATTAATTGTCTCTGATTACAGCTAATTACTCTATTTATCGCAGGAGCTCGATGGCACCAGTGATTAGCGCGTTCGGCTGCGGTCGTTGAAGTTGAGCAACTTGCGCAGTGGTCGGTCATTGGATTGGTGACCAAAAATTTACTATCTCGAGCTCCCCCGTGCTTCGGAAGGCACGTTAAGCCGTTGGTCTCGGCTGCATCTGCAGTCGTTAGCACCCACCAACCCGCACTGGGCCCGCATGGTGTGTCATGGCCCAATCTCCCTAATCCATCCATAGGGAAGGTCTGTGCCCCAGCAGTGGGGACATTAATAGGCTGATAATGAACTCCATTTATTGGGAGAGTCTCACTTTTCCATTATAAGAGGCTTTCATTTTTTCTAGATACGTAATTTTATATGATTTCGATGTTGTCAAGAGCAATCATATCAGTACATATATGGAATTTTACGTAATAATAAATGTTTAACTCTATTAGATTTAGTTGAATTAAATATATATAGCATATTTACCTGTTTGTCTAATAAGACTCTGGTAGAGCTAGGCAAACTCATAAGTGTATGATTGAAAAATAAATCAGTTAGCCTAAACTAGTTCTGTCGGGACAAGATATTGGTGTCGATTCTGGCATGATTCTCTAAAGCTAAACTTAAATTTGTCAACAGTGTATCCTTGTCATTCTCTAAACAGAATGAAAAGGAGAGACTGATGTTAAATTTAGTTTTAGGTTTAGAGAATCATGCCAGAATTGACACTACTGTCACATTTAATTAAGGCAAACACGAATGGCTATATAAAGTCTCTAAGTTACAGACAGCAGATACATACACGGGTGTTTGTGAGCCTTGAGTCTGCTCCACGAGCTTGAGGTAGCAGTATGAAGGCAGCACAAAGGTGAGCAGTGCGACCGTCGTGCCTCCTACCAGGGCGAGCACCGTGTAGAAGCGTGGAACACTCTCACCGATGAACAGGATGCCCAACATGATGGAAACGCGCACCAGCATACGCCACCCGGTTGATTCTAAACAATAAAAAAATATTGAATGGTTATCTATACCCTAAAGTGCAGAAACAAAACATGTATTGGGTGCATAATTATGCTAAGTTGCCAAAAGCGATATTGCCACTAGAGATAGCAAAACCAAAATCAATTTATCTTATCTTTTTAACTTAATAACAGTCCAGCTGCTGCAGCACGGGAGAAACTTGATGGCACAGTGGTAAGAACATACTTATTTTACGATCGTGCAATTTGAGCAACTTAGGTGCAAAGTGACCGATCATGAGATGGGAGATCAAAAAGGACAATGTTAAAATTGGCCTAAGAACCAACACCAATTTGGCATTTATTATAATTCTTAATAACTTTAATTATTTTAAAAGAACTACAATGAAACGAACGCTTTAAAAAAAATTTTCAACAAAACTTAAGGAAAAAACACTTGTTAATTTTCTGTCACTGAGTTGGTAGATTGCACGCATCACACGAAAACATTAGGTACTTTTGAGAGTGCTCGATTGTGCGAAGCGTTGCTGTAGTTGAAATATTCAACGATAAGCATTATGCCGCATAATTCGCTCTAGTGCTGTAATTGGAAAACTACCCTTATTAAGCATGACAAGGACAAACTGTTGTCAAGTGAAGGGCCGGCATAAAACTCGTTACTCTGTGGTTGTGGTGCAGGCAGTTTGCATTCGTAGTAATCTGTGGCATTCGTGCATTCCAAAGAGTAGTTTAATATACCGGAAAGTGCATTCTCGTTTCGGATTACCTGTTGTGTGTGTTTATTTGCGATTGTTTTTCCTTTAATTTAACTATTTTGGCTATCTAATATGCCATCGATGTTACCAAAGAGCAGAGCCCTTATTACCAAGTGCTAGTGAACCTGTGCCACAACATCCTTAGAGGATCATACTGCCATATTATTCAAGAACACCTGATACACATTCACGCGGCATATTTACACAATATACATGTGATATACAAATAAATACAATATACAATATTATACAACTACGTGAAAAATAGTCAATGAGAAGCAAAACTACAGTTTTTATTTTATTCATGATTCCTACCTAACCAAGTTTTTCCTGATAGATATTCTTTAAAATCGCACCGAATAAAATGAATTTGTTGTAATATTACTTTACTTCATACTGAGTATATACCAAGTTCATAGGTTGACCTATATTTCATTGAATATTAAACATAACCTCAAAAACATTTTAGTTTTCCTAATAATTTAAGTTCTCAGAAGTGTCCGTCAATAATCTTTGTTTTTACAGTCATTTACTTACGATTTCGAACCTAGAAAATAATATTTCATGATTGTTGGTTCTTAGGCTAACTATGTATGGACGCTGAACAATGTCCTTTAAAGTTAAGCGTTTGGTTCCGGTCTCTGCAGTCGTTAGCTTTCCAAAACACATATTGGGCTCTTTAAGCCATCTTTAAAACACACCTTTATTAAGAAAGGTGTGTTCCCAGCAGCGAGGATACTGCAGATATCTGCAGTTTTTGGCACCCATCAATACGTATATCATTTTAGGGGTCATGACATGACCTGTTTTCCCTTCTAAATATAAAAAGGCTTGTGCCCCAGCAGTAGCGATAAACTGATGATAATACTGACCTCTAGGCACATTATACAGCTCCTCCATTTCCTGACAGACGGGGTTAACGATGATAATAAAGGCAGCCACTAGATGTGTCGCCATCAGCAAGTTGCCGGCCAGTGTCAAAGGAGTGGCCGACAGCGACGACGCCACGTTGGGCGCCACTGCTTCTCCGTATACAGCATAACCGCCAATAGCGATGGGCAAGTACAGGATCAATATGGCTGTAAGCAGATGATTAACTCATCCGTCAATGCACATGGTTGAAATAGTTCGTTTGGGGTTATCGGATATGGTGGACGCGGAAGGTACCCTGTACACCGCATACCCGCCGATGGCGATTGGCAGGTACAGGATCAATATGGTTGTAAGAGTGATTGTTGCCATGTCACAAATAGTGTAACGTCGAATTTTAGTGGATCACATTCGGCAACACAAAAATATTCGAAGTAATTTTGACATAATAAAACTAGGAAAAATGAAGAAATTAAGCTCGGTAACTTTATTCATGAATTATAATATCAATGGTAATAGAACTCGTGTAAATTAGGCGTCCCAATATACATTCCATAACATATAATTTATTATGTTTCATTACTTACCAGCAAAACTGTAGTGTAAGCTCTTGCTGAAGCCCTTCTTGTCGGTCATGTCGTTCTGTATAGTGGGGAAGGTGGAGGCGCCCCCGAAGGCGAACATGATGGTGCCGAACGCCAGGAAGAAGTCCTGGAACCCGTGAATGCCCCAACGGAACACGAAAGGCCGAATGTCGTTCATCATTTGGATAAAGTACAGGATGCAGGCTACCACTGTCGCACCGAAGGCGATTATCCCCAAGTACCTGGAAAAGAAATGATTGGAAATTGCCTCGCTTTTAGTTTGTCTTGAGTAAACGCTACCATTTGGAGAGGCCTATGTCCAGCAGTGGACTAAGATAGGCTGTTGATGGTGATGATGATGATGAAACGCTACCAGCCTTGGAGTTTATAGGGGTATGGGATGGGATCAGAGTAAGAAAACACGCGAAGGTTAATATTTTTACATAGAAAGAACAAGCACATGTTTAATATGATCCTCCTGATAGTAAGCGGCCACCATTCGAATGCATTGGCGAGCGGGTCGATGGGATTGCATGTAATCAAATAGACTATGAAGCATTGCAAGCTGTCATTGTTTTTTAATAAAATATTATTTGACTTTGTTGATCCATTCTTATCCGAAATAATAATCAAAATTGTGTTCTTTGATCTTTAGGTGAAAGGGCAGTTATCTATAGCTAATCTGTTGTTACTTGAATGAAATCAACAGGAAGAGTTACAAATCCCTTTCTGCTTTTCCCGGTGACGAGAAATATAAGGGGTCTGTGCAAGGTCCATGTAATATTTTGACCCTGATCGATATTAGTTATAATGACAATTTTGGCTAAATCTATTGTTCTGTCAACTCACGGGAGTTCTTTAGGCATTCGAAGAGCATGAGCTGCGTCATAGAGGGGGCGACGATGAGGAACCAGGTGCACAGCGTAATGGGCACCAGCCCTTGGAACACCTGCTCGATGATCTGTGGCCCTATAATATAGTTCTGTCAACTCACGAGAAGTCTTTAGGTGTTCCGAAAAGCATGAGCGGCGTCATGGGGAGGGGGGGCGACGATGAGGAACCAGGTGCACAGCGTGATGGGCACCAGCCCTTGGAACACCTGCTCGATGATGTGTGGACCTATAGTATAGTTCTGTCAACTCACGAGAAGTCTTTAGGTGTTCCGAAAAGCATGAGCGGCGTCATAGCGGCGGCGACGATGAGGTACCAGGTGCACAACGTGATGGGCACCAGCGTCTGGAACACCTGCTCTATGATCTGCGCCGCGAGTAGCAAGTACACCACTGAAGCGCCGAATAGAGTCACGGTCACAGCCATTGATACTATCACGCTGAAATGTAAAAAGATGACTTACGTATGATGAATAATTATCAGTCGGAGCCACATCTGAATAGATATGGCACCAACCGATAATTATTCGCCAGGTCATGCAATTTGCAATAGGCCAGTTGACCCTTTTTGGAAAAAGGTTTTAAATGGTTAATAAATGTTCTATTAGACCGAAAAAATGAATTGTATTTTTTTGAGACCTAGAAAATTACAAATCTTTAATTTTAAAATAGACTTTTCATGGACATACAAAAACGCTGTCGGCCATTTTAGTCTATAGATTATCTATGCTATGACGTTGACGGTAGTAAACAAAAACTCGGAACCTATCTGAGATTATAATAAAAAGAAAACATGATTTCTAATAGATACCACGAAAAATATAGTAATTATCATTATTGTATTGTACGAGAATGTAAAAACACATCCTTGAAGACTCCAGGAAAGTTGTGGATTAAAGTGCCGAAAGAAATTAACCTACGCAATACCTGGTTAGAAATTGCTAAAAGTGATCCTGCAACTTTATCGACTCATAGTAAAATTTATTTTTGCGAAGACCACTTTGATGTAAGTACTCATTGAATAATATTTTAAGTCTCTTCATTTATTATCAGTTTTAATAATACAAGTTTTAAAGTTATGTATGAATGACCTTTAATTGTTTACTAAAAGAGACGTCACAATCATGGCGGATGTGGCGAACAGCGTTTTTAGTGTTTAAAAAGTATAGACTAAAATTTTTTTTTAAATTAAATTTCTATAGCAATCTTCTGATTTTATGAAGTGAAATCGATATATTTAGGTTCCTTAGACCAAATATTTTAAGAAATAAACATTTATTTAATACAATTCGACATGAGTCAACTAGCCTATTGTAACTGTTTAAGGAAAAAAATATATAGATTAAAAAAAAGTTGTAGTTTTCACCATGTTGAAACTCCAAGAGTTGTGAAACAGAGAAATACAACATACAATACGAATACAAATTAGGTAGGTAATGTGTTTTGTTTGACCATAGTCAATTGAGTGTGTAATGACGGCTTTTTATGATAGGCTCAAGTATTACAATATGATCTAGCGAATTAATTCTGATAAGCATACCTCCAGACCTTGCCCAAGGCCTGGTCTGCAATGATGGCGTAGGGGTTCCGCTGTCTGCTCCTCATATCAGGATTGCGTGCCTCGACCATGGACCAGCAGTCGCCCAGCCGTTTGCCGCTAAACGCTGCCATGGCGCACATCACGATTATGATTGGCACCCCGAGCCAACCTAATAGAAATAAACATACATTAGTTTAGGAAATTGCTTTTAGAGCCACTGGTGGAACGAAAAAACGAAGAACGAAAACAGCAACAACCACATAGGAATAGAATACCTTTTTTTGTAATGTGCATAGAACTTATTTAGTAATTTAAGTTAGTATTCCCGTTTCCGTGTGGATACTAAAGAAGTTGTCCGCGGTGCATATTTTGGTTTAAAAAATGTAGAGACATGAATCAGGATGTGTTCATATGCTATATCGATTTCGAAAAGGCATTTGATAGAGTAGAGCACGATCGACTTATCAGATTTCTAAGAGACATTGGCCTTGATGAGTACGATATAAGGATAATTCCGATTCTTTACTACTACTATTCGAGTTATGTTTTTATTTTTTTAAGAATTTAACTGCTAGATATTTTAATCTATAGAAAAGTTTTACTAGAAAAAAATCCACGCGGACCAGGCAGCGGACGGGACTCGAACCCGCATCCTTCGCAATCCGGGCGAATGCACTGACCAATTATGCTACCACGGCCCTGATGGCCGCGTCGAAATTTTCCTAGCCTTAAGCAGCAAGGCAGCGCCATCTTTTCGCATTGTAGGTAACCCACAATGTCAAATGAATACTTTTTCAAGTATTAATTACTACTATTCGAGTTGAAGGAACAGACTCCAAAGAGCTAGCCAATCAAAAGAGGAGTTATGACTCAATTACACTTGGTCGTAAGCCCGTATTCATATGCACAAAAGACATTAGTCGAATTCAGGCACTCGTACTCGACTCCGTCATTTACACTTAGCAGTTTGCCCTGATTCCATTGGCACTCGTGTTCGGGCAAACGACCAAATGTATCGCGCCATTAGACAAGCTTGCATCTTGTCCCCTACATTATTCAATCTTTACTCAGACTCTATTATGGCTGAAGAGCTTGAAAAAAAGGATATCAACTGTGCTATTAAAATCAATGGGCCCCTAATCAATATTCTTCGTTATGCCGCGAAAACATTACTTATAGCTTCTTCTGATTGACAGAGCTACAGAGGATTGTCGATCGCGTGAATGAGTGGAGTGAGAAAGCTGGCTTGAAGATGAACATCAAACATCAACACTAAGTTAATGAGTGTGTCCCGCGATGTCAACCTAAACACTACGGTTAGAATATCGGACCACCGGATAGAAAGAGTCACCAAGTACAAATATTTGGGCACCTGGCTGGCTGAAGACTGGTATTGTGACACCGAAATTAAAACCCTAATTGTAATCGCCCGCATAACTTTCAAAACTATGAAAAATAATGATTACTAACTGTGGTCTTCACATTACACCCCGTACTCTTACATTGTTATGTTTGGCCAATACGGATGTTAATCTTGGTCAATGAAAATGGAACTCAGAAAACACATAGAAATGTGGACATACTGACTAATGTCAAAAGTCAGTTGGACTCAAATGGTTACAAATGATAAAATCCTGCCACGTGTTGGTAAGAAACGCGAACTTTAGGATACCGTCAGAGTGAGGAAGGTTGCGTACCTAGGATACGTAATGTAACACGTACGCCCTCTTGCAACTTATTATGATGGGCAAATTATGAGGCGTCGGTTGCAGAAAGAAGTCTTGGTTAAGGAACCTATGAGAATGAACTGGAATCTCGACAGCCGCGGAATTATTCCATTTCGCTAAAGACAAGGAGACGTATGCAGAGCTGACTGCTAACCTTAGGTATTCGGAGAGTTACTAGAAAAAGAAGAATACCTTATGGTAACCTAAAGTTAAACTGTAAAGAGAATACTCATAACATTTATTAAAATGGAAATCGCGTTAAATATACATCAGTGACATTATGCATGCATTAGATTGGAAGAAACCAATAAAAGACTCGGAACTAGTTATTTTACTAAAACCGGTTCCTTGACCTCAAACGATAAGAAACTTTTTGAAACACGCAAGGTAGTAAGGTATATGGGTGACAAAGGGTGACAATACTAACAATGATCGCTCCATCAACAAAAAAGAACATTTGGAATACATAATTGACACACAATTAACCCGACTTTTATGTTTTGGATTTGAATTCTGTTTGGTAATTTTTGTAGCTAAAGCACTATATTATATATTTAGCATGTCTCGTTATTATTATACTTTAACTGGAACGATTTACAAGTGTATTTTACTGGAGAGTGCAGCAATGCTGTAGCTTTGTTTGTCTTGCATATTCGCGATTACTTAGTTATGACAGATATCAGATGCACAGATATAAATCTAGATTTACTTTCTATTGAGGAGCTCGATGGCGCAAGTGGTTAGCGCGTTCGGCTGCGACCGTTGAAGTTAAGCAACTTTCGCAGTGGTCGGTCATTGGATGGGTGACCAAAAATTTACTATCTCGAGCTCTCCTCCGTGGTTCGGAAGACACGTTAAGCCGTTGGTCCCGGCTGCATCTGCAGTCGTTATCACGCACCAATCCGCACTGGGCCTGCGTGGTGGGTCACGGCCCAATCTTTCTATTCCATCCATAGGGAAGGCCTGTGCCCCAGCAGTGGGGACATTAATAGGCTGATGATGATTATTTTCTATTAATACTCTATATATTAACTTGCATTGCAAGTGTGTTGCAACTACAATGCGAGTGCCATTGCTTAAATAACTAAAAAATGCTTTCTAGTATAGATTCCTCACAGAATATAGAAACTCTTGCTGTGTTCTGTGGCATTTATAGTATATTTTCGGTCGTTTTTATGACGATAGATTGCATCTAATTAAGATAACACGAGTGTCTCCAAAACATACCAAACCGAACCAGTTTGGTCGCTTACGAAAACCTCCAAAACGATTACTTGCATTTAAATGACCGCATTTAATATTGTTTCTCGTATGCAGGTTTAGGCAATTCTCGGTAATATATTGTGCAACTGCCCTTAGTACTTTTCCAATTTAGATTACATTAAAAAAAGTTTCGCTATAGATAATTACCTACTGAATTACGTTGTTATATTCATGCACTTACATGTCGTAAATAATTTAGTTATTCTCATGTCTTCTGTGGTTTCGCTTTTTTATTTTGTTACATTATAGAATCCGATGCCGCGTCGAGATACAGCCAGGGAGGTCGTATACGGATCAGAATTATACTGACCCCAAATAAAATCGGTTATAAGTGAAAAGGATTACCTCGGTAAGCACTGCCTTGAATTAGCAACTTACATTTAGGTTGCGGTGTAACTTTATCAATTAATAAAATTCGCATTTGAGCAAAAGCAAATAGTTGCAAACAAAACATTAGACTTAATGGGACTTACTTTTCAGTGATTTCGTTCGCAATGGGCTCTTATCCGGATATATCTAAGTATAGCTCGAGTCAATGCTATTTAAGTGTATGCCTGGGTGCATACATTATAACAACAAGGCAGATTTACAAGCAGGAGAAACATGCTGACGGTTGTATAGATTAGATAGTGGTGTGCGATATGTATGATTGTAGGTCATGTACCTAGATGCAGCAAAACTCACAAAAATTAAGAAGATTAGCATAGCAATCGCAATATTAATCACTTATTCTTTAATATTGTCATTTAACATATCGCATGGCTTCTACAAAATCATAATTTGACTTACAATATGACAAGTAAAGTGGAAAAACTGTTATAAAATTTAAGGCTAAAGAGATGCCTTATAAATTCGCTAGTTTGGCTACTCGCAAACAAAATATAAATTAATCTGCTGTGATGCATGAAACTTGGGAGATATAGATCCTAATACGTTCCCCGTTTTTTAGCAATAGGCTGAAAAGAATGAGTGAACTACCTCCAATGTATGCGCTGGCAGTAGGATAGAGCGAGTGGAGTACAAAAGCAAATACAATTTTTTCCAACAGAAAAGAAACGTGTGACGTTACAGAGCTCGATCGTGATTCGACTTCGTGGTCGAACTTTAGTAGCGTCTCTACGCACGCTCGTGCCCGAGCGCTATTATAATATAAAATATATATGTAATTAAAGAGCTCAGTGATGTCACAATCACCACACGGCCAGCCGAAAATTCGTTTAGTAATTTGGTTATAACTTCGTCAATATTTATCGTAGAACAAAAATTTTAACACTGTATTTTATGGAATCCTTGGCTCTATAAATCTGCGTTCTCAACTTAAATTTATACCAGCACCATATACAGAATTATATTACATATGCAAATATGGCTGGAAAATCGACAACTCCTAGCATTAAAATTGGACATAGATTTTGAAAAAAAAATGCAAACTGAAGCCTGTGGTTGTAAATAACTCGACAGTGACTTATTTACCTACTAATAGCTCAGTATTTCAGTATGTATGTACCTGTCTTGACGAGGGCCCGTGGGAGTGCCAGGACTCCGCTGCCGGCCATCTCCCCGGCAATCAAGAACGCTGTCTGCTTCATCGAGAGCCCTCCTTCGATGCTGGTGCTGGACGGATCGCCACCGCCTCCGTCGCCCTGGTGAAACAACCGAAATACTGTTATATGAATACGTGCATCAGAAATAAAGCACACCCTGAAAGTAATTGGTTTGGAATTAATTTCAATAAAAAAATACTAATAACTAAAAAAAAACAAAGTTATTGACATTAATCATTCTTTATAAAAGAATATTATACACAATACAAAGCAATAAAATGCTACGGTATACTAAATAATTTTACTAACATTGTGATATCACTGGTAAAGAAGAATAAAAATTGCTGAAATTAGTTCATTTTTATATTTACACAAACTACTTTCAGGATGTGCGATATTTCTGTTACAAGTTGTATACTTATGATCATCGCATTCGATTTCTTTTTTGGTAAAGTTCATTCCTACATCGGCCTTTCCCGGCATGAAAATACTTCTAGTATTCTCGCTGATGTGGATGTCTGTATTTTTTAGCCTTAAGGTTAAGTGAGGTGAAACCGATAATTTTATGAAATAAAAACAACAGGATGGAATCTCCTCTAGTTTGCTGTTTTTAACCTTTGGGGGAATTATGTAAATGTTATTAAATAAGTTATTTGCAATATATATCTTTCTATATACTTATAATAAATCTGTAGAGAGGTCAATTCTGTACATGAAATATATTTTCAAAATAACTATCAGGGGGTGATTAGTGATCGATACTGATGCCAAAAATGCAATCAGTAAATTTTTTGTCTGTCTGTCTGTCTGTCTGTGTGTGTGTTCCTTATAGAAACAAAAACTACTCGACGGATTTTAACAAAACTTGGTATAATTATTCTTCATACTCCTGGGCAGGTTATAGTATACTTTTCATCACGCTACAATCAATAGCAGCAGAGTAGTGAAGGGAAATGTTGGGAAAACGGGAGAAGTTACTCCATTTTTTAAGCTTCCGTCGCGTGTGCAGCCTTAATGGTTAAAGTTACATAAAAATCATGTATGACGGAAATATTCTACATAAAATTGTCTAAAAAATATCCCGCAACAGCATATGGCTATCTTTTATGGTTGACTCACAATAACACGTGTAAAAAAAATGATGTGGTGTCGTGGGACACCAGGTAGGAACGAAGTTCCTTTGGCTAATGTAGAATCGACACAAATTGCAGGTTTTCTTGATTTTCTCTTATTTTTTTTTAAGTACAAGAAAGTATTTAGGAAATTCAGTATTTTAGGAAATAATAAATTACTTAAAATAAAAAACATCGTAATTCAAATTATCAACTAAAGTAACAAAATATGTCTCTTTAGTTTTGTTTGACAACATAAAATTACATAGAAATAGAAAAAAATAGAAATAGAAATAAAAAAAATAATTACAAAAAAAGTTTATTATTATTATTAATATTATTATTAAATACCTCTGTTTGTATTTATATTGTGTGACACAGCAATCAAAATGCAGGTGAACAATTAATGTATAATTTCACATTATGTAATGAAGGGTGACTTCATGAATCATCTCTGAAGTCATTTTTCAACTTGACGTCTCTGTAAATGATAAAACAGGGAGAAAAAAACAGCCCTTGCTGAGTTTCTTGCCGGTTCTTCTCAGTACAAGGTCTCCCGCCGTAGATTTACGAACCGATGGCGTAGCTTCTAGACATTCATATGTGCGTGTAACAGCCTAAACTGAATAAATGATTTTGATTATTATTATTGATTATTATTGATTATATTATAAGTAATTCTTAATTAGCAGTCTCGTCATCAAATTCTATTGCTGAAACTATTGGCTTGTGGTAACTAAAATATGATACATATGTTTGTGATTCTATTTTATGCAAATACCTCGAAAAAACAGCATCAATAGTAGTACCGTATTTTGTTGTCGATTCTTTTGGATTGTTATTTATAAGTAATTTAAATTTTTCTAAAAGAAATGTTCTTAGTGGTTCTGATTTTTCATCTGCAAAATTGATATTGAAGTCTCCAGATAAAACCATCGGAAGCTGATGGAAGTTTCCACCAAGTATTTTAGAAACCTCATCAGTATATTCTATCAGCGCTCGATGGATGAAATGTTTCACATCTTCTATTTTTGTATTTGGTGAAATGTAGACTATTACCATAACAATTTCCACTCCGTTGTTCGTTTTACATACAGCTGAACAAATGTCTCCAACTCCTGTACATGAAACATTCACATCGCCGGTATTTTTTAAGATTTTGTCCATATTTGGTGTTAAAATATTAGTAGTGTCATTGCTATTTTGATAGATAGCAACTCCACCTGTACGTACGTAATCTCGTTTGAAATGGGCAATGCAGTTGAAATTAGGAATATCAAACTGTTGGTCATTGCTCATCCACGTTTCGGAAAGAAGTAAGAAATTACTTTTTTGAATTACAGAATCCGACAAATCCAATCTATGACTTTGTAGACTTTGACAATTCAATGTGGTTATGGAAATGCCATTTTTAGTTTGAAGAAAATCCAAGATCGTTTGGGCTTTAGTGTGTAAAGGATTTAACGACAATCTCTGAAATTCTTGCAGCAAACTTTTCGTTGATGATGCTTGCACTCGATTATGGTGGAATCTGAAGTTAGTTGGATTGTTATCGGGTGTTACAATAGACAAACCTTCGATGTTTGTTACACGAGATAGCGCAACATAAACAAGCTCTGGTGGATGTCCCTTATTGTATTCGTAAACAATTTCATCGAATGTTCCACCTTGTGATTTGTGGATGGTCATCGCAGCAGCTGAAACTAAAGGAAAGTGCTTCCGTTTCGCAGTAACTTTCTTATCTGATGTCAATGGGATGTTCGCTGAACGTAATTCAATTGGTACAGCAAGATTACTGATACCACATTGAATTGCTAGTCGAGCAGCTTTTTTTCTTTTTTTTTGACCTATCTTCTTCGAACCACAAAATTCTAACCAAACTCTGCATACGTTGTTGTTTTCATCAAAATCCATATGTACTAACTTTCCCACTGAACCATTACATAAGCCATCAGTTACATCGATGTTAGTGGTAATAAGGTAATACATAGATTTAACAAAAGTAATTTGGTACGGTAACCCACCGACTTCATTGAGACTCTTTTTATGCAGTTTCTGACGACAATTAGTCTCTTGTTCACGACTTTTTGAACCAATGATCACATCGTCAGCTGTAGAAATTATTTTTTCTTCAAATTTTTGCAAAACATAATTGTTGTAAGCGTCAACACGAATGTTTTTATAAAACAAACGAACTCCATGAGGACACAATCTTTCGGCATCTTCTTTGGTAAAAAATCTGGATTCAATAATTTGAAGTTCAGCCTTATCCAATGGATCTCCGTTGCCTATCTTAGTTAGAATATTAGAAAATTAAACATTAGTCTGTCTCACTACTTCAGTCAGTTGATAAAATTTTAATGTTCTCCACAAATAAGGTCGAAAAATATTTGTTTTAACTGGCTTATATATGGCTGTTGCCCTTACTGGTGGTGCTTGTCGTAAATCCCCAATTAAAATAACATCTATTCCACCAAAGTCAGCTTTACCTCTTCTGGTAATCTGTTTCAAACGCATGTCAATTTTGCCTAATAGTTCTGCGCTGATCATGCTTATTTCATCAATGATCAATACTTTTATATATCTAAAAAGTGATCTGTACAAATGTAACGTTTCAAATGATAAAGGTAACATTTTTGATATTGGAATTTTAAGAGCTGTATGAACTGTTGTACCATCAATTGCCACAGCAGCTTTGCCAGTTGAAGCGCAAGTTATGTAAGCATTGCAGTAACCATCATTATCAGTAAATCTGTTATAAATTTCCATTATAAGTTTAATGACAAAAGTCTTACCACTACCAGCTGGACCGGTGAAGAAAACTTGAAACGGCACTTGATTTGGAGTGAGTAAATGATGAATAATGTTCATTAATAGATCTTTTTGTTTTGTATTGGCCGATCTCATTAATTCGCAGAATTGTTGAGTGTCCATCAAGTTTTCTCTTTTTTTTGCAACAGCACCAAGTTTACTAAGTGCTGCATTTTGCAAATCAGCATTGACTGTAGAATCCGGATATTGCGCTACCAATGCATAAGGATCGTTTTCGAAGACTATATTGGCATGTCCTGGTTCATCTTCTCCGTCATCCTCTTCGTCTTCTTTTTCTCTGCACAATTGTCTGCAAATTTCAAGGGTTTTTTCGATATCTAAGTTGGACTCAAACTCTTTTCTGCGTTTTAAGATTAAATCTTTGTTATCTTCATATAGTTGGATATATTTATTATCAGCAAGAACGTCGTTGTTTTCACTTTTAAAAGGAATATGCAGCAATACCATTTCTCTTCTGTAGTCGTTGAAGTTATCAGCCATATCATAATTACGGTAACGGATCACTTTTTGAATTTTCCTTTTTATATATTCTCCTTTATTATTGATGTAATAATTAGCTACGAACTGTGCTAATGTAACGTTGTCCAAATCATCGGGTCTTTTTTCATACTTATCGAACCAGTTTTCTTTCCATATATTTGTACAATCATCCTCCAATACCTCTAATTCTTTCATAGTTTTCCTTATTCTTTGACGTTCAGTGGGATATATTGTCGGTATATAAACAGTCACTACCGATGATTTTGCCATAGGCTGTCGTAACAAATACCAAGCAGCTTCTTGTGCTGGCATTTCAACAGCATGAAGAACGTCAACACTCAATTTCTTTGTGATATCTACAAGATCAAATTCTGGATTTTCGTCCATAACCTGAAGTATTTGTCGTTGTAGATTGCTGATACCTCTGTTGTGTTTGTTAACATAGTCAACAACGTAAGCAGCACATGAATATTCATCTTGGATCATTTGGAAATCCATATTAGACTTTAGATGGTGAAGTACAAATGGATTAAAAGAATTATGCCACTTTTCTGATGGTGTTCGACGATAGAATAACCTTGGTCGATTGATACCTGCACGAATAATGTTGTAAAATAATGTTCGTCGGATTCAATATTATTGTCTTTATAAAAGTGATCAAAATCTGTGTATTCAAA